ACCGTTAAAGTATTATATTTAAACATGTTTCTAATCTATTTACATTTTTTTCTGCAATATCGGACTTTGTCTGGACACTTGATATTAAGTGGGTGGTAGGATTATCGAAATTCCGTCCGGATCACGAACCACTGTCCACAGATCAAAAAGCCGTTAAGTTAATCGCGTTTCGGTTTGACTCTGTTCCCAAATATCCAAAACCAAAATAGGCCGACAGCATAGCTGCTGAAGTATTTCACTTGAACCCTATGCTTCTCTTCTCTATCATAAAAAATAGTAGATTTCTTTGCTCTACCAAATTCCTCTTTACCCGGGACTCAAACGCGATACGTTTAACTAATGAGCAAGGAAAGTGTAAGGGTGTATCCGGTTTTATATTTTTAATATCCTAGTCACGTAAAATTTAAAACATTCAAAGCACTTAAGGTTATCACATAATTTACTGATCTAATTATCCTTCTAAAACATCCTATGTACAGGTGATATTTTTTTCCTTGCTTCTTTATTTTATAGTTATGTTACACACATTTAAATAAAACAGCCGTGGTCACGGGGAGATGGCTACTGCAAAGCATCCGGAACGTTGGGCCGTAGTTTAAATAATTTTCAAATGAATTTGACTAATATATATCGCGTTTTAAACTGTAAAGTGTTTTTTTTTAATGTTACATACTATTTGCGTAAACCACAGACAGTATTTATGTGAAACACACATTTTGTAAACACAAATCATTTTGTTATAAAAAATTTGTCTGTTCTAACTTAACTTATTTACACTCTTGACGGTTTAAAACACGAAATATATTAATAAGTTTATTTTACTCCGGATGCTTTTTAGCAGCTGTACAGCATTTTATCTGCATTAAGTATCATATAGTCTATGGTTTACGAAAGTAGTACATATTTTAATACTTTATACGGTTTAAAACGCGAAATATTACTTAAGTTAACTTATAGCAATTAACTATTTTTAATCAGGCGGTAATTAAATAATTAAAATTTACACAAACATAGCCTGTGCTTTACGCGAGCGGTGAACATTCGAATAAAACACTTTAAACGGTTCAAAACGCGAAATATATTACCTAATGCATAGTAATTAACATGTTTCAACCGGATTGTGGGTATAAAGAACTTAAGTAGTACACATTTAAATAAAACTATTTTGAGTAATATATGTCGCATTTTAAGCCGTTAAACATGTATTATTTTAGCGTGAAAACTTTATTAAGATAGTTCCGGTCTCTATGCCACATTACATTGATTGCATTTTAATAGGTGAAGAGGAAAAATCGTCTAAATGTTTTTAATTATTCAAGTTGTGTTCTCTCTGGTCTCCAAGGATAACGGATGCTACCAAAATCTAGAACCGATCGGGACCTGTGTGCTTATGTAGCTCGTTGGTCTTTTTTAGATCATTTGAAGAGGAATCATTCCTTCATACAACATTTTATATATCAGTGTAGATATAACACGAACGTTAGTATAACAGTATGCTAGAGCGTATTCAAAATAAGTTTACGAGAGACTTACCGACCGACCAAAGGCATTACTAGCCCTTAATGTATTCGACGTTATTCGTTTTAGGCATGGTTGAATACGCTAACCTCGAAGCAAGGAGGCACCTAGCGCTGGCCACGTATGTGTTCAAGGTGCTGAGAGGCATCACATATGACCCCATGGTGCTGCAGTCCATCAGCTTCTACGTCCCAGATGCCTACGTACGACGACATAATAGATCACTGTTCGCCATCAGTCCCGCGAGAACAAACTTAATGTATTATTCCCCGAATATGCGAGCACTTCACATTCTTAACAGTGTATATTGTAAAATAGACATTTTCAATTGTACAGTGAGCGAGTTTATAAAGACTATAACGTATATGCAGTAGTGTTATATGTAATATGATAACTTTTTATTTTAATTAATTTTATTTAAATGACTGATTGTAAGTCACTATCATGTCGGAATTGTTATTCTGTAGGGGTATGTGATTGGTTTTTAATAAATAAATAAATATACATTTCGAGACGAAGTAAATGTTTCAGAACAATTATCTATTGAAAACATGTTGCAACCACTGGGGATCGAACCAGCGACAAGTTAAGTATAGGGTTGGCTTTTGCAGACCAAGGAAAAACAAATTTGATTTCATTCAATCGTCAATATCTGGTACTAGTTTAGGAACACGATGTTGTGGACTAATAGAATAAATATTTGCCTAGACACGTCCCGAACAAACATTTGGATTGGATCTCGTAGATTGTAACGTGTCTGCGAATATTAACATTTCAATAAACAAAAATACAAATCTTATTGACACAATAAAAATAATATGGGATTCTGAATACATTACTTTTTCTTTCTGCGTTGGAAATAGCGGAAGATGCGGGGAAAACGGGAATAATTCTATATTTTTAGGTCTCCGTTGCGTACGTTGCAAAAACGGTTCAAGATAACAAAAAAATATTTAAAAAAGAATGATTCCTCTTTAAATTATCTAAAAAAATGTCCGCCACATTATATGTCTATCTTTTAAGATTAACTAGCAAGAAAGAAGAGTGTCGACCGACGTCCTGGGTAATAGCTTAATTAAAGACTTATCAGAGGTTTGCAAAAACAAACTTGGATACCCAAAATAACTATTCTACGCGGACGAAGTCGCTGACACAGCTAGGCTGGATATAAAATGGGCTGAAATCGTTAGGAACCTCGACTTAAACAATAATGACATAAAATACTGTCTATAGTTTACGCGAGTAGTACACATTTAAGTAAAACACTTTAACGATTTAAAACGCGATATATTAGTTATACTTATTTCAAAATGATTTTTAACTTCGGCCTGACGTTTCGGATGTTTCGCTTTCTGCGTGGCCACGGCTAGTAATAATACTCAAATAATATTTTATAATAATTTTATTGTTTTTTTCCTTTATTTTCGATTTTTTAATTGTATAGTGCCTTCATGTGCACTAACATGTAAAAAATAATTAAGTTTTCAAATATCCAAATAAGTTTAACTAATATATATCGCTTTTTAAACCGTTAAAGTGTCGTATATATTTTTTTAAGTGTCTTAAATATAATACGCTACAGTATATATATATATACTACAGTTCGCAATTTGCGCCCTGTAAAAAATAGCTCAATTTACTTATAGCGTCGTGTGAAATTTGTTTTTCTTGCGAATTATAATCAAACAGGCCCATTGCCCCAAGAAATGTAATCATTCACCTTAATCGCAGCCTCTCAAATGAGCCCCTATTTGTCACTTTACCCTTGTAAGAGCTTGGGAAAAGTTTTTAGGCTTAGTTGTTCTCTGAATTAAAATATTAGAATTATTTTTGTGTATGCCAATTATTGACTATAGTTTACGCGAGCTTACGTTTAAATAATATACATTCAACCGTTTAAAACGTGAAATATAATATATTTAATTTGTTAAGATAACCAAAAGTTAAATAAATATGCAAGAAAGATTCCTCTTTAAACGACCTATAATAATGTCTGGGACAATATATGTCGACGACGTCGTCGGTCAGGTAGATTGCAAAAATAAATTTTGATACCCAAAATAATTATTCTACGCGGACAAAGTCGTTGGCACAGCTAGTTTATTAAGAAAGATAGGCCAAGAAGTAGATGAGAAGTATTTTGTGAACAATTTTAATATTCACTTTTTCTTATGTTTAGTTGTAGCGGCGACGGAATAACGTTATTTCTTTTTTCATTGCAGTTATTTAACAATCGATAAAAGAGTCCCAACCCCAAAGCCAAAAAACCAATTAGAAAGATAATTTATACTTGTATTTTTCAATCAGCGTATAATTCGTGATCACAACATACAACTTGTATTTGCCTTGAACGTAAAATTGTCATAAGTTTTTAATTGAACTTTGAAACGAATTGAATTTGTATTATTTGCTTTGCTCTGAAATTAATTGAAATATTTTAAGGTCAATGAACTTTCTATTATTGACACACCCTAAGTGTTTGTCTAGAATTCACTATCATTTCTATTAGATAAGTTATCTATACTAATGTATAAAACTGAAGAGTTTGTCTGTTTGAACGCCCTTATCTCAGGAACTACTGGTTCGAATTGAAAAACTCTTTTTGAGTTAGAGCATTTATCGTGGTAGGCTATAGGCTGTATAACATTGCGCTGTGACTAATAAGAGAGAAGTAACAGTGGGAAATGTGGAAAAAACAGGAAAATTATTCATCTTTGTGGGTTTTCGTTGCGTACGTTGCAAAAACGGTTTAGGTTTCAAAAATATGTATAAAACAATGATTTCTCTTTTCAATTACCTAAAAAATATCTGCGACAGTAGATCTCTTTTTAGATTTACTTGCAAAAACGACGGGAAGGGACGCGACCGACGTCGTGGGTACCAGCTTATAATTTATAAACATGCAGAGAGGGTTTGCAAAAACAAATTTGGATGTCCAAAATACTTTTCTACGCGGACGAAGTCTTTTAAATGTTTCGTGTTAAGTATTGTCTGTAGTTTAAGCAAGACATTACATTTAGAAATATATTTTACTTATTACAAATACTTGTTTACAAATATATTTTAACTACGACCTGACGTTTTGTATGCTTTGCAGAAGCCATGGTAACGGTAGGACCCGGAACTTTTCGCGTTTTAAACATGTTGTTACTATTCGCGCAAATTACAAAAAAAAGTAAAGCGAAATATCAAAAATAGGTAACAAATACACTTCGTGTTTTAAACCGTTAAAAGTGTTATATTTAAATGTGTACTACGTAACTACAGACAACGCTGTTTGCCTTCCTTAAATAGTTACTTGATTTTAAAAATAACAAATGCGAAACAGATTTTACAGTTTTGGGTGCAAATAAAAAATAACTATGGTTTTTTTTTATTTAAAATAGTTTTATTAAATAAATAGTTAGTAGGATTTTCCATCGTTTTCCTCCATATTTTCAGGTACAAAATACATTTGTAAAGTTCACTTGCCGCTTCTTTGCTTATTTCTTTATTTCAGGCTCTTTGTTTTCTGAAAATAAAAACAATAGAATTAAAAAATAGACTATACAGACACAATTCTGTGTCCCTGTAATTAATCTGACTTTAATTGAATACTGTCTATAGTTTACGCGAGTAGTACACATTTAAATAAAACACTTTAACGGTTTAAAACGCGATATATTATCGCGTATCGCATCTTATTAATATCGCGTTTTAAACCGTTAAAGTGTTTTATTTAAATGACTTTAATTAAACCAAATTTAGAGCAGTTTAAAAATGCAATACTTAATTTTTTCAATATATATATTAGCAGATTTGCGCCTTCTCTTAAAATGACTTTAGTTGTAAATTTAAATTGCTTTTAAACACCAGGGCGGTAGAAGTCCTAGCTTCAAATCCCAGTTAGACACTATTAGTATTTAAATCGAAGCCCGATCAATTACTTGTATACAAACATTATCACAAGAAATATATTTGGATTTAAACTAAAAATCTAATTATATTGAAAAACTTTGACGTCACGAATTGAACCGCTATCCTTAGTTCATTCGTTCGTTCATATTTCATCGGAACCTTAGTTCCTGGTAGTTCCATCAGTTAGAACAACAACACGGAACGCTGACGACGCCGGTTCAACTCCTGCCCAAGGCGTAAATATTTACAATTGGTTTTCGGTTTTTAATTCAATACTTTCTATAGTTTACGCGAGTAGTACACATTTAAATAAAACACTTTAACGGTTTAAAACGCGATATATTATCGCGTATCGCATCTTATTAATATACCTCGTTTTAAACGTTAAAGTGTTTATTTGAAAATGACTTTAATTAACTAATATTTAAGGCGTTTTAAAAAAACAAAAAAAAAAAGCCCCTTCAAGTCCCAGTTAACATATTTTAAAAAAATTATCAAAAAAAATATATTTGGATATAAACTAAAAATTAATTATATTAAAAACTTTGATAGAAATTAAAATTTTTAAATTGGTGCCGGTTCAATTCCTGCCCAAGGCGTAAATATTTCGCTTGATTTTCATTTTTAATTCATTTGTAATTAAGGTCGCTGTCATCTAACACGTACCAGCGTCTATTTCCTCTTCATCATTCCAAGGTTGTCTTTCAGATGTAGCGAACAGTATGAAGAACAGGTTCGTGAAGAAGTAAACAGCAGACGCGAGGAAAAACACTTTTCTCCACTCGTTGGGGTCGGACTGGAAAGAAAATGATTATAAGGGTTATTACCAATAATGTTCTTTATAAATATATATAAATCAATAATAAATACTGTCTATAGTTTACGCGAGTAGTACACATTTAAATAAAACACTTTAACGGTTTAAAACGCGATATATTAGTTCACGGCTGCTGCAAAGCAACCGAAACGTCGGGCCGAAGTTAAAAATCATTTTCAAATAAGTTTAACTAATATATCGCGTTTTAAACCGTTAAAGTGTTTTATTTAAATCAATAATAATCTAATAGTAGGACGGACAAGCATGAGTTTACATAACATCTGAACAAAATGTGTTGTCGACCTATTTTGGCTTTATATATTCGAAAATCAGCAGACTGAACCCAAACCGCCAATAATCCTCATAGCTTTTTCATCTATAAAGGGTGATTTGTGTCTCGGACAGTATTTATTTATTTTCTACCGTCCGTATAATATCCAGATTTCCAAACGAACACGTTTTGGAAATATTAAATGGCTGATAAGAATATCGAAATTCCTTCCGGGTCACGAACCTCCGTCCACAGTTGAAACAGTCGTAACGTTCTCTTCAATCTGTGGGTTTTCGAAGATATAAAGCCAAAATAGGTCGACAACATATTATTTCGATTATATAGCTGGGGGATCTCAACTACCATCATGTGAACCACCATCAACCTTGTCTGTCCTCCTATGTGATAGCATAAAAAAACATGCTTCTTCTTCTTGCTTCCTCTGATAAAGATAAGAGTGAAACAGGTGTACAATTCTACTGAGCAAGAGATGCCGGATGTAAGCTAATGTTGGATACAATTTTGAAAGAATTACCTCATCTTGAATGACAGCACCACAAACCAACGGGGCGATGATGGAAATTATATTAGCGAAGAAGTTTGATATCCCCATCAGGTTCGCGCTGAAGTTGGGCGCCAGATCGTTCAACACCAGCTGTTGGATTAGATATGTTTATTAAATAAAACACTTTTAACGGTTTCAAACGGGAAATGAGTCAATGTATATTTAAATTTTTCAGAAAGGAATGGTTGCTATATTGTTATAGTGTACGTTATAAACCGTTAAGTGTGTTTAATTTAGTTTGGACCACTTGCGTTAAACATAGTCAATTCTTTAACAAAACATATTTAATATCTGCACCTGCTGATCTATCATATCATATACTTAATTTGAAACACACTTAACTAGATTGAAATAGATTTAATTCACACTTTTAACCGTTTTAAACGCGAATAATACGCATACATAGATTACTATTTTTAGTGACCCGTTTCCGAGTAGTACTTTTGGGAGCCGTAGATAAAAGTTTCACTTTTAAGCCGATATAAATGTTTCATTTGGTGCTTGTGTAAACTACAATATAATATTATGTACTTTATAGATAGCAATTTAGACTTGAAGCAATAATGAATGAAAGCGTCTTCCATATTTCAATAAAAAAAATATGACACGTCAAAGGGAGTTCAGAGCCGGCATATAGAGGTATGTCCAGACATGTGCATGCATCTACAGGCATATTTAGGCATGTCCAAGCATGTGTAGCCATGTGTCGGCATCTTCAAGCATATATAGACATGTGTCGTCATGTTTAGGCCTGTTCAAGCATATGTAGGCATGTTTTGGCGTCTTTAAGGGTGTATAGGCATGTGTCGTCATGTTCACGCATGTGTAGTCATGTGTTGGCATGTGTCGTCATGTTCAGGCATGTGTAGGCATGTTGAAGCATGTAAGGGCATGTTCAAGCATGTATAAGCATGTGGAGGCACGTTCTGTAATGTACAAACATGTGTTGGCATATGTAGGCATGTTCTGGAAGGTACAAGCATGTCCAAGCAAAGCCAGACATGCGCAAGCATATAGAGCATGTAAAGGCATGTGAAGACATGTGTAGGCATGTTTAGGCGTGTACAGGCATGCTCAGACATGTACAGGCATGTGCGGCAATATAAAAAACCATTACCAAATAACCAGTGTATTGTCCTGCATTTATCCCAACGGAGACTGTCAGCATGACCACGGCGAGTGTCATGTTGCCTTCGGGGATGTAGGACAGGCCTATTAGGGCGATCGCTGGTCCCCAGAGACCTGGAAGGTTAAACGAAGAAACATTATACCAGACGTAAACCGCTGAAGATTTATGTAAATGATAGTATTCTAGTTATTAATTCGCGCATATAATGTAAATGTATTTATATTTATATAATGTAATCTATTGTTTTTTGGGGCGAACACATTTCTACGTCCGTTACACTGATAGATACTTTTACAGGATAAAATTTGATCAGCCTACTGTGCCCATATCGAAACAATCTATTGTTCCCCGAGATTCAAACTTAGCACAATGCTAACTAACATGTTAACTCCTCCTATGTTAACACTCCGATAGGCCGAGAGCTTCCTCCCATTTCACAAGCACTCTTCTAAGTCTATTTTTCTTCCTCTTTCTATTATTAAATAATAATTAATTTAGTATATTATAAGTAAGTATTAAGCTTAAAAAGGACACAGAATTATGTCCTCACAAGGTCCTAAGACAATACAAAAATAGTTTACCTATAGTATTAGACAACTTTCTTGTATTGGAAACACTAAGCCACTTCTTTCTTACGATGACATCTGTCATTATGCCCATCGGGAAACTCAGTGCGTACATAGCTAGATATGGCAACGACGACAGCACACCGTTCTGAAATATAAAACACATTTCAAACTGTTAAAACGCGATTAATATAACTTAACACTTTAACTTAACATTAAAATAAAACACTTTAACGGTTTAAAACATGAAATGTACTGATTGTACCGCTTCGGCTACTTTGCAGCAGCCGTGTTCACGGGTCGTATTTAAAATGATCTGCTGTCTGTTCCGTCGAAGTTGGTATTTGGCGAAAATAACCGGGTCCTGACAGAATTGACCAAGGACCCGACCAGTTCGCCAAGTTTAACTAATATATATCGCGTTTTAAACCGTTAAGGTTTTATTTAAATGTGTACTACTCGCGTAAACTGCAGACAGTATTTAACTTGAATTATACAGTTATGAAAATAACATTATATTAAGTTATTTATTATTACAAAACTAAGTGACTATAGATGGAAGTTTTCCATTTGAGTGAGTGAAATCCAGATTTATGTGGGGCATGGGGCGAACACATTTTTGTATCCGTTTCACTGATCCGTTATCAGGCAAGTAGTTGATCAGACTGTGCCCTGCCCCACCGAAGCAAGGCCATACGTGTAACCATTTGGCTACAGAGGCGGTGATGTAAGTTCTGCATTTAGGCATATCACCAATTTTAATTCATTAACAATGTACTATACCTGTGTCAAGTTCATGCCAAGAACTTTGGCCATATACGTGGGCATTTCCGTCATCAATGTGAAGAAGCCCCAGTTCTGCCCGCAGTGTCCGATTATAGCAGCCCACAGCGGTAGACAGAGGAGAATTTTCGTCCAAGGCGTTTTAAGTGGCTGCAAATTAATAAAAAAAAATACAGAGCTGTCTTTCTCTAATGTCAAGCATGACATTCATTGGATGCAATGTTTTAACTATATAATACATAAATACGATGCGTTGTCGACCCATTTATAGCTTCTTTATGATAGAATGATACATGAGAATAAAGAAGGCTCAAATATTTAGAAATCCGAATTGAGTCCGTAACGCGTAAAACTTCACGGCTTTTTATGTGTGGCCGGCGGTTCGTCACCTAGACGGAACTTCGATATTTCTACCATTCAAGTAATATCCAGTTTTCCAGACGAAGTACGACATGGTCAAAACAGAAAAACACACAAAAAAACAGTTGATAGCTACGGTAGCAACGCTACAATATCAGCACGGAACGCCGTGGTCGTGGGTTCAAGTCCTCCCCACCATTTTTTTAAATTCAAAAATAAATATATTTATGACAGCTATATCAAATACCTTCCGTTCTTCAACTCTGCCCAAAGATGTCCTTATATAGAGTGACTCTTCCTCAGATATGTACTTGGAGTCTTCTGGGCTTCCAGCGCCGAGGAACAGGTAGGCGACCATCCAGACTAAGCCAAGAGCCCCGTTGGTATAGAAGATCGCCTGCCAGCCCCAGGCTTCAGCAAGGAATCCCGCTGCGATCAACTGCAGGGCGATTCCAAGTTGGGCACCTGCAAGTCCAAAACTTCAGATCCACCTCGGGCACTAGTGTGGGTAGTTTACACGAGTATTTCACTCTTAAATAAAACACTTTGACGGTTTAAAGCGCCAATATGTTAATTTATTTACGAATCATATAACTACCTCCTGATGTTTTGAATGCCTTGCAGCAATTACGTTTACTTAATATATTACGCGTTTTAAACCGTTAAAGTGTTTTTTTACCACCTGAGTCGTATAAAAACTGATTAAGATACGTTGTCTATTTTTGGATTTGAATGTTCGGACTGAAGCCAAAACGCGGTTAAGCTTCACGACTTTTTTATCTGTGGTGGACGGTGGTTCGTGACCCGGACGGAATAACGATATTCCTTAGAAAACATGAATATTTTTTACATGAAGGCACTATATTATTTAAAAGTCGAAAATAAATTGAAAAAATTTTCGACTCGGGCAGGACTTGAACCGGCATCGTCAGCGTTCCGTGCTGTTGCTCTACCAATTGAGCCACCGAGTCACTCGGTCGAAAATTTTTTCAATTTATTTTCCTTAGCCTTATTTAGAAAAATATAAACGGTGGAGACTGTAGTTACCAGCGTAAATAATGGTTGTCAACGTTCCCTTCTCTTCTAGAGGCACCCACTGGCTCACTAAGTGATGCATAGAGGGATAGACGAACGCCTGCGTCAAGCCCTGAAGGAACCTGCATACGATCACCAATTGCCATCCGCCCTGGAACGAACGAGCCACTTCAAATACATATTATGTTATAAGGTTTTTTTTATTATCAACAAAATCTATTACAAATTCACGTGTTTCTCTTAAAACATTACAATTTTTCGTTTATTTACGATAGAGGACGACAGGCAAACGTGTTGGTGGGTGAAATACCTCAGCTTATAGCATTTAAACAAGATGCGCTATCGACCTTTTTTAGTTTCAGATGTGTGGAAATCGGACTGAAACCGCAACGCGATTAAGCTTCACGGCTTCTTCATCTGTGAAAGGTGATTCGTGACCTGGACGGAATTACGATATTCTACCACCTACCCACCATCCAGAGGAAGTGCAACATGTTTCAAAAATAAATTGATTAGAAAACATAAAAATGTTGGAACCGGTGGGGATCGAAGTTACGTTACGAGCCCTACCTTTCTAACGACAAATAATTATCATAAGTTAAATTTAAACATTCGAATTTTAAAAATAGTGACCTTAGAGGTGTGTGAAAGCGTTTCCCCCTCGTGGGGCATGGCGCGGACCATTTTTGTGCCCGTTTCACTGATCCGTTCTTTAACAGGCAAGTAGTTGATCAGACTTCTGTGCCCTGCCCGACCGAAACAATTTTATCTTGCCCTGGGATTCGAACCCAAGACCTCTTGCACTTAACGCAATGCTAGGCAATACGTTTAACCATTTGGCTACAGAAGCGACTTTAGAGGTAACTGTAGCTAAATATGATTCCTTCTCTTCTTCATTTTGGAATCAAGAAGAAATTAAAAGTTAAAGAACATAAGGAATCTAGAACATTCTAGAATATAACAAAGGTACATACCACTTTCGCCAAAATAGGCATGAAGAGTGACAGCAAAGAGTTTACGGAGACGGAAATCGTTATCAGGACCTTTCCCCCAAACCTCCTCGCCAGAACACCACCTGGGATTTGCAGTATCACGTAACCCCAGAAGAAGGACGAGAGGATCATGGACTGTATACTGTAACTCCAATCGAAGTACTGGAAACAAAATATGATTTTTAAATAAAACACTTAAACGGTTTAAAACTCGATATATTTTAGTTACAATAGTTTAATTTATGCAATAAAACCATTTGTTACATTTGTATAGTGCCAAATATCTTATTGACAGGTACGCCCACTAAGGTCTTCTTAAATATAATCTTTTTCTGCTTTCTTTTAACTTTTATCCGACGTTTGGAATGTTTAACAGAAGCCGTGGTCACGGAGGAGTTACAATTAAAATATATTTCATGTTTAAAACCGTTCAAACCTTTTATAAGAGTAATAAAAAATTGTGCTCGCTAAAATTAGACGTATCGTCCTAAGTGAGACAAAGTATAGCTAAACTCATTACCACTATAATTTATCTACACATCTGTTTCCCATAGCTAGGTCATGGTTGAAACCGACGTCTCGTTCGCCTACACTTGCTTGAATATAATGTTAAATTACTAATTACGTTTTAAACCGTTTTAAACAATACTTCCCACGACTCTGTGATTTCCAAGGTTTAAGCTATTAATTTGTCCGTGTATATACAAAAGCTGCGCCCGCGACTTCGTCCGCGTGGATAAGTAATTTTGGTCCATGGCATCGACCGCGTTCCGTCGTTCTTGCGACTAGTCTTAGAAGTTATCTATACTATCTAGAGGAGAGAATCTTTATCATACATGAGATTTGGTTTCAAACCTTCACACACACACATAACATACTTTTTCAAATTGAACCAAGAGTTTCTGAGATTAGCGCGTTCAAACAAACAAACGAACTCTTCAGCTTTATATATTAGTATAGATAGAAAATAAAAAAACTTTATTACGGTACTTCCGGCTTTTTTTAAATAATTTTATCAATTATTATTTCGCTGATGTACCTACCTACCATCTACAATTAATAATAAATAAGGTTAAATCTAAATAAAACACTTTAACGGTTTAAAACGCGATATATTAGTTAAACTTATTTGAAAATTATTTTTAACTTCGGCCCGACGTTTTGCTTGCTTTGCAGCAGCCATGGTCACGAGGAGACGCTGCTTTGTTTACTTGAGTACATATTTAAATAAAACAATTTTAACGGTAAACTTTTTTGTTTTAACTAGACCTTGAATGCTTTTGCAATAAACAAAAAATATTACATTTTGAGTTTTAAACCGTTAAAAGTTGTTTTGTTCTATGTTTTTTTCGGAATTTCAAACAATATTGCAGTTGTGGTACCCAACTTTCTTCCTCAGCTAATGACGAAGTTTCCACTTTCAAGTTTATTGAATTACCGTTTTCGTTTTAAATGACAATCGTTTAAAGCCCGAAATATATATTTTATTTACTTACGATGTAGGTATTTTAACTTCTATGGCCCGAAGGTACCTTATATAGAATATTTCAGAAGAATTATGAGTTAATTTAAATAAAATCCATTTTAACGGTTAAAAACGCGCAATCAATTGGTTAAACTTATTTGAGGATTAATGTTCTCTAATTGAGTAGGTACGCCTGGTAAAGCATCCGAAACATCAGACCGTAGTAAAATATAATTAATACATTTCGCCTTTTAGACTGTTTAAATTGTTCTATTGAAATGTGTATAATTCGCGTAAAATACTAATCGTTCTTTATATATTTCGAGTTTTAACCCGTTAAAAGTGTTTAATTTAAATGTGTACTACTTGCCTAAACTATGGACATTACTTTATTTTCCATAAAACCGTAAAAAGTGTTTCATTAAGTGTTTCTACTCGTGTAGGTACCTACTACACACTTAATAATACTCTTAGTTACACATAGTACTTTATATAATTCGTAATTTAAACCGTTAAAACTGTTTCATTTAAATGTATGTACATCGTAAACTACAGACTATACTAAGTTTTTAACTTAATTGGAGATAAATTGAATTGCTCTGCGAATTCTCGCCACGTCTGTTCTTTCTTAACACTTAGTTTGCTCTGACGTAAATTAGGTTGTAATACACTAAGCGCTAATTTTAGATGGCACTACCAGTCACAGATGTGAAAAGTGTCTCATTTAAAAAAAAAACCCTCTGATGGGGCCCAGAATATCAGTGTTGGGACATTAGTGGCTTCCTTTTCAGAAAATGATATTTAAATAAAACACTTTAACGGTTCAAAACGCGATATAAAACGCGTTAAAGTAATTTGGAAATTATTTCAACTACCGCCCCAAGCTAAATATCAACCCCGAAAGAATAGATGGCGCTAGCGTAGCAGTTTACTTTGGCATTAGAGACACCCTCTATCTTTAGTCTCCCCATGACTATCGCTGCTGCAGAGCATCCGATATGTCGGGTCGTAGTTAAATTAAGTAATTTATATTATTTGTTAGATTAGATTGTTGATAAATTGCTGTGTTTCTGAATTAATGTTATATTCTACATTGGATTGACAAAATTTGATGACACGAGCGGGAGTTGAACCGGCATCCACAAAGATGCTTTTTTTGACTCGGAATAATGTATGCTCTTCTTCTTGTTTCAGAGGCTCTAACCAATTGAGCTACCGGGTCTTCCTCGTCACCTTGACTGGCTGGTTGGTCTAATAATAACAATGGCTAAAATCAAGCCTGTTTCAAATTTTTCAATTTATAATTCTTCTGAACTATGGACTTCGTCTGGAAACCTGGATATTAATTGGATGTGGGAATTTTGAAATTTCGAAGTCACGAACTACCGTCCACAGACGAAGCCGTGAAGTGTAAAGGCATTTGGTTTCAGTCTGTAGTTTTTCCGAATATCGTAAACGCATCTAGTTTGGATGCTGTAACTTTGGGTATTAGTAAATCCAGTCTAATATAAAGGGGCGACAGAATATCAGTCCCAACGTAGCTGAGTGGCTTCCATCAGAGGCAACTATATTAATGTACTAGCTGTGCCTGCGAGTTCGTCTTCTTGGAATAGTTAATAGTTATAACTGTTACCGGTGACGTAGTCCGCGTTCCGTCGTTCTTGTGAGTTAATCTTATAAGATAGACATATATAGTCGCGGACATTTTGTTAAATCGTCTAGAGAGGAATCATTCTCTTTTACATATTTTTCGTGTATCTTGAACCGTTTTCGCAGCGGAAATACACAAAGATGATTCATTCTTCCCCTTTTTTCCACCTGTCCCCTATTTTTCGCTCCTCTTAGTCGCCTTATGTTTTACAGTCTAAAGTCTTTCTCGATAAGTGCTCTAAAGAGCACAAATATAATTTTTCAATTCAAAACAACTTTATCATATTAGTTTAAATAAATCTCTTTAAATGAAATTGTTCCAAAGTTTTTTATCGTATCGTAAGAGTTGATATGTCTCCTAATCTTGGATATGAATGTCAGTTAGAAATAACAATAACAATAAAAGATTATTGTAAGACCGTAGGTATTTTTTTGCAAGAGTATGTTATTGTGTATCAATGACTCGCCGTCTCTAGTTTACATATAAATAAAATACTTTAACCGCTTAAAACGCGATACATATAATGAAACATATTTGAAAATTATTACGAACTATGACCCGACGTTTCAGATGCTTCGCAGCAAACGTGGATACGAGGAGGCTAAAGATGGACAGTATCTGTGACGTCAAAGTAAAAAACTGCTACGCTAGCGCCACCTGTTGATATTTGGCGAAACTGAACTTACCACCTTTAAGAGACGGTACAAAGAATATTTGCTATTGTTACAAAAAACCGGCGTTGATGGCGCTGTCAGTGGAAACCTATAATATTGAACCCTGAACCATATTATGTAGATGGAATGGAACAATTATTTTTTCTATTTATGCAGCTTGTCTTACTTTTTCTTTGTAAATTTTACTGTGTTTTTATTTGTACAACAGCAACTTTTTTTTTTGTTTATTTTAACTTGAGTGTGGCACCGCTGTCCACACTCTAAGGACTTACTGAAAATCAGTTTCAGGTCAACAAAAGGCCTGATATAAACTGAGGAAGATCCTATTCTACTAGCACCACACAACATTATCCTATCTTGTTATATTAAGTTATACTGTTAAGACAAAATTATGTTTTGTTTTTTTTTATGTTTAGTAATAAGTGTTTTTATGTGCCCTAGTAGTAAATAAAAAATTTTCTTTCTTTCTTTTCTTAACGGTGTATTCGCGTTTGCTGGTATTCTGTTTTTGGAATACATGCTCAAGACGTCGGATTTTTTTATGATAGAGAAGAGATAAGGGTATTGCATGCATGCATGGTCTCATACCCATGAGACCATTAATGGATGAAGGATATAACATAGGCGAATAAAAGTGGAAAAATGTGAATATTCATCTTTAAAGGCCTGTGAAAACGGTTCAAGAACCGTACGTATCGGAAACCCACAAAGATTAAATCATTTTCACCATTGTTTTCGCTTTTGATTTCGCTTCTTTTAGCACAGCGCGATGTCTTAAACATACCTTTGTTTATGTGTTCTAATCAATACAAAAATAAGTTTTCAATTCGAACTCATAGTTCCTGAGATTAGCGTGTTCAAACAAACAAACTCTTCAGCTTTATATATTAGTATAGATATAGGTCTTAAAAACCTCTCTTACATAAAATCTTTCCGCATGTAATGGAAGTTTTGCGATCCATACACGTTTTAATCAGTTTCTGCTAACTGCCCCGCCTCCGACGCGATAACCTCCACAGCACTTAACCCCAAAATTGTTATCGAATTACTGCGCAGTATCGGCGAATTAATCTTTAAGCTTATTTATAATTAACTGTAGACTAATTAACATTTATAAATACACCATGGTTCAGTGGTTAAATAAAATATTTTGTACAACGCGACAGAAGTTTGAATGTATACTAATATGTATATAAAGCTGACGAGTTTGTTTAGAGCGCTAACCAGGGACTTCGGTTAAAATTGAAAAATTATAATCACGCGAGTACATATTCAAAGAAACCACTTTAATGGTTTAAAACGTGAAATATATTGGTAAAAATTATTTATAAATTATAAGAAATTACGGCCCAACGTTTCGGGGGCTTTGCAGCAGCCGTGGTCACGGGGAGAAAAATATTTTTGTAACTAATTTAGAATTATTTATTACGCGTTTTTTACCGTTAAAAATGGTTTTATTTAAATGAAAATAAATTTCAACGAATATATATCGCGTTATAAACCGTTTAAGTGTTTTATTTAAATATATTAATCTTGCAAAGAAAACGTTTGCCGGATCAGCAGTCTAAGATAAAAAATGTATGTGTTGTATGTGAGTTAATACGCAATATATATTCTTAATTTAAAACATATATTTTAAGATTGACCTCTACTTGTTACAGTTAATTTTACGACGTCTGATTAAAACTATGGCATTGAACTCGCAGATAACGAATCTTGTACTTACTCTTGCATAAAACTTTAAAAATATTATGCTAGTTATCACAAGTTATTATTGTTTTATAATATAATATTACGAGTTACGTAAAGAAGAGGGTAGTTGTAGTCGTAGAGAAGGAAAGACTAGCACAGAGTTCTCTTGATGGAAGTTGTCACACCAGCTATATAACATCTGGACAAGATGCGCGGTCGGTCTAATCTGGCTTAAGATATTCAGAAATAGGCTGAAGCCCAAACGCGATTAAACTTTAGACTTTTCACACGTAGAGCGAGTTCGCGATGTACGGAATTTTAATATTCTAACCAACCATTTTATTTCCAGATTTCCAGACGAAGTCCAATAGGCTCAGAAAAATTGTTGCTACCATTAGCCCAACGGGCCCGTCAAAAGTTTGTCAAAATATGTGTCTCTTTTAAATAAAACACTTTAACGGTTTCAAACGCGATGCATACCAGTCTCCTGGTTACCACGGCTGCAAATCATCCGAAACGTCGGACGGTATTTAAAATATTTTTCAAATAACGTTAACTAATATATATCGCGTTTTAAACCGTTAAAGTGTTTCATTTAGGTGTGTACTACTCGCGTAAGCTACAGACAGTATTTGTCTCTTACCGTGTCATTTTTCTCGTTTGTCATGTCAACTATAGCCATGCTCATGTTGACTCGCATGCTGAACGCCAGAAGCATGGCCATGAAGAGTAAGAAGGTCTGAACGTGGCGGACTCCTAGACCTCCTGAAAAATAAAACTGAAAAGTTAATACCGTGTTAATTTTCAGACATATCTAGTCTAAGTGGCTGTTATTTTAGGCATCAACAATGATTTAAACCCCCTCCTCTGATAATTTAAGCTGTTAGCCACGGCGTCGTCCGCGTCGCGTTGTTTTTGCGAGTTCATCATAAAGATAGACTGTCTGGAGTACTTTTGTAGATTATGTAAGGTGGAATCATTGAGTATTTTGAACCGTTTTCACAGTGTACGCATCGGAAACCCGAAGAGTTGAATTCGAACCAATAGTTCGTGAGATCGGCGCGTTTAAACGAACAAACATACTATTCAGAATTCATTATTCATATTGTCTAGCTGCTATGCTCACGACTTCGCCCGCGTACAATATTTATTTTATACGACGTCGGTCGCGTCCTGTCATTCTTGCAAGTATATATTAGTAGACAGATATATATATATAGTGTTCAGAAATATTTTTTACATCATTTAAAGATGAATCATTCTTTCGTACACATTATTTTCGTATTTTAATATAATTTAGGAAATTCCGCGGCATAAGTTATAAATTTTTCCCGTTTTCTCCACATTTCCCGTCGTTTCTTCGCTGCTATTAGTTGATTCGTGATGTTTTGGCCTGTAGCCTACCTCGACGCATGATCTTACCAACGCAAAAAGATTTTTTCGATTCCCACCAGTGATTCTTGACATTAGCGCGTTCAAACAAACAAACTCTTCAGCTTTAGTATAGATAGATATAAATAGCAGAAGTGTAATCTATACCAATATATAAAGCTGAAGAGGTTGTTTATTTAAATAAAACACTTTAACGGTTTATAACGCGATATATTAGTGAAACTTATTTGGAAATGATTTTTAACTTCGGCCCGACGTTTCGGATGCTTTGCAGCAGCCGTGGTCACGGGGAGACGCGTATTTCTATGTATATATCGCGTTTTAAACCGTTAAAGTGTTGTATGTAAAAGATGTAGAGTTTTGCAAAAACAAATTTGGATGCCCAAAATAACTAATCTACGCGGACGAAGTCGCTGACGCAGCTAGTACACTTGTATAGATTAAAGAAAGAATTTGTAGGACTCGGTAGCTCAATTGGTTAGAGCAACAGCGCGGAACGCTGTGAATGCCGGTTCAAGCCAGAGTCGTAATATTTTTCAATTTATTAGCGATTTTCAATCGGAATACATTTTTAATCAATAATCAAGTATACAACGTGATAACGTTAATAGGAAGTTTAAAATTGCGTGTTTTATTGTTGTTTTTTAATTACCCGCGTTTTTTCCTGACAGATAATTACGATTAAGTGTTTGTTCTATATGAACCGGAAAAATAAGAACAGAAATTATCGATGAAATGATGCACCTACAAGTGAATGATACAGTGATTCCCCACTTTCCTATCTGGGGCATGGGGTCTTTCCTGTATATATAGCTGATCGATTATTTAGTTTATATGACAAAATTTATACTGTCTGTGATTGTTAGTATCCCAGTAGTATATTTAAATAAAACACTTTAACGGTTTAAAACGCGAAATATATTAGTTAAACTTATTAGAACAGTCTCCCAGCGACCACGTCCGAAACGTAGTTAACATTATATTCAAATGAGTTTAACTAATATATATCGCGTTTTAATCCGTTAAAATATTTTTAAATGGCAATTTTTTCACAATAATGCTTTCAAATTTGAGCATTATTTTGATAATTTTCTTCGAGAGAAATCGAACTTGCTGTACTGGTCGAGCAGAAGCCAGCAATGGTTGCATGAAAATCCATATATGTCGTGTTTAGCGGGAAACTAATGTCCTAGGTCCTAGGTTCAAGTCCTGCCCGAGTCGAAGTTTTTTTCAATTTATTTTCGATTTTTAAACTAATGTCCTATGAACAAAAAAAGTATTTAAACACTGAACTTAAAATAAAAAAAAACTTTGCAAGAATTATTTTTGATTTAGTTGAATAAACAGTATTCACTAAATTATGTATAAAACACTTTTACCAAGCACGCGCAGTATTATGAAGTAGTTAGTTAGGTTAAAAGCGTTTTCTTTAACTTAATAAAACACTTTTAACGGATTAAACCCCGAAATATTTTATTTAATATTTAATTTAATTATGGAGATAATTTTAACTTATTTAGTGGACGTAATTTTAATAACTTTGTGAACATTTCACGTTTAAATTTAAATGTGTACTACTTTGAAATGTACTGAAATACTGTTTATAGTAACGGTTTAAAACGCGATATATTAGTTTAACTATTTAAATGTACTGAAATATGTTAGAACAACGACAAAACAGTAACAGTATTACAAAATATAATAGAGAACCTACTATTTTTGATTTCTGTTAAAAACAAAACTATTTTCTTTAACGGAATCGAACCTCATCCCTAATTGAACCTAAACGCACGCTCAGTCTAAGTAAAGCAATAAAACATTTACAAGTAATGTTTATTATATAATACTGTTTTGATTATAAAAATATCTGTTGAAAAATTACATTTGCAACGATTTAAAACACGATTTATATTAGTAAACTAGCTGTATCAGCGACTTCGTCCGCGTAGAATTGTTATTTTGGCCAATCAAATTTGTTTTTGCAAACGTCGTCATCTTCATAAACTTAAACTGCCATCCGACATCGACATCGGACTCGTCTGCGACCCGTCGTTCGGCTACCGTCGTTCTTGCAAGTTATAGATAGATATAGTATCGCGGACATTTTTTTAGACCATTTAAAAGGAATCATTCTTTCATAAATACTGTCTATAGTTTACGCGAGTAGTACACATTTAAATAAAACACTTTAACGGTTTAAAACGCGATATATTAGTTAAACTTATTTGGAAATGATTTTTAACTTCCACGGCTGCTGCGCAGCGTCTGAAACGTCGGGCCGAAGTTAAAAATCATTTTCAAATAAGTTTAACTAATATATCGCGTTTTAAACCGTTAAAGTGTTTTATTTAAACATTCTTTCATACATATTTTTTGGGTATCTTGTACCGTTTCCTCAGCGTACGCATCGGAGATGAAAATTTCCACCCGTTTTTTTCACATTACCCGTTGCTTCTTCGCTGCTATTAGTCACAGCGCCCTGTTTTATAGCCTTCAGCCTTCCCCGATAAATGTTTTAACTAATACAAAAATAATATTTCAAATCAAACCAGTAGGTCCTGAGTTTACCTCGTTCAAACAAACAAATACTTGACCGCGACTATTGTAAAGCATCCCAGTTATTTGGTTGAAATTAAAAATAAATCAAATAAAATTCGCCTTTCGAACCGTTAAAAACGGTTTAGTTAATGCTGAATATTTTTTCCTGAATATGTATTGTACACTTATACAAATAAATGCGATAAAGGCATGGTTAATCTCTTGTGTTCTATATTAAAGACGTGTTTTGTATATGTATTTTTAAATTAAACTCAATACATAATTACTATAGCTATGTTAGACAGGTGATTAGACTAACATGGTTGATAAGTCATTTTGAAATTAAGAAATGATACTCAGTGCTGCCATCTATTATGTTTAGCAATCGATTGTTTGTTTAACGCCTAATTTAGGGATATGATATATAATTTAGAAAATGTTGATCCGGTGGGGATCGGACCCACGATTGTGACGGACAACACTTGTGACTTGAGTATGATCAACAACATAGTGCCATTGAAGTTTGACAGATACCCATGACAACATATGGCGGCTATATTTCGCGTCTTAAACCGTTAGTGTTTTATTTAAATATGTACTACTCGCAAAATCAAATGTTGTCAAGCCTATATTATTACAAATATATTTCTTACATTGACAAGAAATGCTTAACACGCGAGGGAGTCAAACCCGGGACCACAGAGTTCTGTCATATAAAAACTAACGCATACAACGTTTTGGAATTACAAGATCTTTTAACGTGGTCGTAAGTTTCAGGCCCACTCGTATAATATATTTTAAATCCAAAACAGATGCTTGTATCTAGCTTGACATTTGTCACTGTCATTTTGACATTTGACTTGTGGCTCAAGTCAAAATGAGAGATGACTTGTGCAACACTATTGTTCATTTATTTAACGGTTTGCCATCAACTCTAGTATAAATTTAGGTGAGTTTAATTTAATATTAAATTTGTAATAAATGATTGGCTTTTGGTAAAGTTTTTATATTGTAGATTACAGTTTTTTACATCATAGAAGTATTGACTAAAAAAACTATACATTACTAAAATAATTATTAAACTCGTAAAGCTTATTTTCTACTAGCTTTGCCCGCAATTATGTCCGCGTATAATAGTTATTTGGGCATCCAAATTCTTTTTTGTAAACCTTCTCATCTTTAAAAGTTTTAACGGTTTTCCACGAGGGCGTTCCGTCGTTCTTGCAAGTTAATCTTATAGACATATAGTATAATGGCCATGTTTTTAGATCACTTAAACAGTCAAAAAATCATTCTTGGTACGTTGCACTGATTTCGCAGCACATGCAACTAAAACCACAAAAAATTACCAATTCTTCACGTTTTTCCACATTTCTTCAGGTCTTATTGGTCGCAGCGTAATGTTTTATAGCCTAAAGCCTTCCTCAATAAATTCTTTAAACAACACAAAGTAATCTTTCAATTCTAACCAGTAGTTCCTGAGACTAGCGCCATCAAACATACTCTTCAGCTTTGTAATATTAGTATAGATGGACTACTTCTTGTTAGTGGAAAGTTGTTTTTATTAATTATTGATTAAAACTAGAAAGACAGATAATTGCGTTATCTTTTAATGCGTAGCATTCGAAAGTAATTGACATTCATAGAAATTGTAATATATCTAATTAATTAATGCTTTTATTCACACATCTATTATAGAGCTTGGTGGGTCCACCAATCCACTTCTATGCGTTAGCAGGTCACGACTATAGCGCCGAAGTTATTACTAACTCGCTGTGTCAGCGATTTCATCCGCGTAGAATCGTTTTGCGCATCCAAATTCGTTTTTGCAAACCCTTTTATAAAATTAAACCGTTACTCACGACGTCGGCCGCGTCCCTTCCCATCGTTCTTGCAAGTTACTCTTAAAAGATAGACATATAGGGTCGGGGACTTCTTTTAGATTATTTAAAGAGGTATACTATATATATATTTGGGTATTTAGAACTGTTTTGCACGCCTAATACCTATAATGATAATTAATTTTCAAAATTTATTACTCGCTGTATCGCTTACATTAGTCAGAGGACAATGTTTTAACTAACACAAAACGAATTTTTGAATTCGAACTTGTAGTTCCTAAGATAAGCGCGTTCAAACAAACAAACAATTTGTTCAGCTTTACATATTAGTATAGATGCTTTTGCTCATACATCTCCCATTATAGAGCTTGGTGAGTCTTGGTGGGTCAACCAAGCTGCTCCAGTATGTTAGTAGGTTACGATATCCACCGAAGTTGTTTACAATAATATTTTACTCAAGAATGAGGCTACATAAATACAGTCTGTAGTTTACGCGAGTAGTACACATTTAAATAAAACATTTTAACGGTTTAAAACGCGATATATTTTACTTAAGCTTGTTTGAAAATTATTTAAAACTACGGCCCGACGTTTCGGATGCTTTAAAGCAGCCGTGGTCACAGAGAGACTCAGTCTCCCCGTGACCATTATACATTTTTTATACAAATTTGTGTCGCGTAAACTTCAAATAAGACGCTTTTGCGACATTACTTCGCATTTGATGACGTGAGTATTCTTAAGTAGGTACAGTGAACTTTCACTTTGCAACGACATAAGCAAAGGTTAAAAGATAAAACCAGTCGCATATGACAGTAGTATGCAGGAAATAAAACACTTTAAACGGTTTAAAACGGGTTTATTAGTTGAACATAAATACTGTCTATAGTTTACGCGAGTAGTACACATTTAAATAAAACACTTTAACGGTTTAAAACGCGATATATTAGTTAAACTTATTTGAAAATGATTTTTAACTTCGGCCCGACGTTTCGGATGCTTTGCAGCAGCCGTCTCCCCGTGACCACGGCTGCTGCAAAGCATCCGAAACGTCGGGCCGAAGTTAAAAATCATTTTTCAAATAAGTTTAACTAATATATCGCGTTTTAAACCGTTAAAGTGTTTTATTTAAATAGTTGAACATATTTGAAATTCATTTTTAACTACGGCCCCGACGTTTCGGACGCTTTACAGCGGCCGTGGTCAGGGGGGAGATGGGGTTAAGTGAACTGATATCTATCGCGTTTTAAACCGTGTACTTATCGTGTAAGCTACAGGCAGTATTTAATTGTAGCTCAATCTCAATTAAATATTTAATATCCAGACAGAGTCCAACAGACTATAATTGGCCTATACAACGGGCTAGTTGGTCTTATGGTAGCAATTTATGGCTAATAACCAACGGGTCGTGGATTTGATCCCCACCGGGTCCAGCATATTTGTAAACAATATGTTGGATTGTGTAAGCCTGCAAAGCATCTGCAACGATCGGCCGTAGTTAAAATAAATGGGAAATAACCATTTCGAGTTTTAAACTGTTAATATTTGAAATTTTTAAGTACACGCTTTTTCCATCCATACCATCATTTTTACAATTATTTTTCCCTACATATTCTCTAAGTATCTTAAGCCGTTGTCTCAGTGGAAGCGTCGGAAACCAAATATATTCTCAACATTTCCCGCCGTTTCTTTTGTGATGTTACATAGCCTTCGTGGATAAAAACCAACACAAAGGTAATTTTTCAATTACATACGTATTTAACAGAGCTGAACAACAATGCTTATTTATAACACATAAACATACAAGAGAAATAATAAATAAATAAAACACTTTAAACCGTTCTATATCTAGCTTACGCGAGTAAATGAATAAAACAATTATGACAGCTTAAAATGGGTCTCCGGGATCACGGCATCTGCAAAGCAGCGGAAGCGTCGCGCCATAGTTAGAATAAATTAATAACAAGTTAATACATTCCACGTTTTAAACGGTTAAAAATGTTTCAATTAGACTCTTTTAACGGTTTCAAACGCAAAATATCCAATAACTTTCTCGTCTTAAACCTTAATTACCATTTATATTAACTTAGGATACCTTCCCGGATACATTCGAATTATGTTCCAATATTTCACGTTTGAAACCGTTAAAAGAGTTTTATTTGAACGTAACTCGCGTAAACTACAGACGATACTAAATGAAATTATATAAATAAAAACATAATAATAAAAATTACATACCCTGGATTTTACCCTTTCCTACGCTAAAGATAGTAAGAAATGTGAGGGAACTTACTCGGTCTAAGATTTTCTCCTTCCACTATGGCCACCATTTTTATTTTTTTATTTGTTTTTTATATTTGCTTTATCTCATGGCACAATATTATCACAACACGACCAACGATCATTTGGCCTCAGCGTAAACTGAACAAAACAATAAAATAAATGATAATACAAAACTAGTAAACTCGTTTCTCGGCAACTTACGCGAGTAGTACTTTTAAATAGAACATCCTTAACTGTTCAAAACGAAATAATTTAGTTAACTTATTTTTATTTAGTTGTAACTACCGCCCGACGTTTCGGACGACCACAGGGTGCGTCCCCCGGTGACCACAGCTGCTGCAAAGTAATAAAATAAATTGTAAACAAATTAGCTAATACATTTCGCGTTTAAATCCGTTAAAAGTGTTTACTTAACGCTCATCATTTCCGTATTGTAATAGTGTATCGCCTTTTTGTGTTCTTTTATATATATCTTGATGGTTAGTAAAATAGCCTCGCTAAACTGGCCGGGCTATACTATATCATTTATGATAGACATATAGTATCATAATATACTATCATATAATATATCTCGATACATATACTATCATAAATGATAGACATATAGTATCACGGGATATTTTTTTCAGATCATCATTTATTCATACATACATATATTTTGTATGTCTTGAAACGTTTTCGCAACGCACACTTTGAAAGCCCGCAGAGATAAAATAATATAATCCCCCGTTTTCTCCACATTTCTCCCTGTTTCTCCCCTATTGGTCGTAGCATAATGTTTTACAGCCAAAAGTCTTCCTCTATAAATGCTCTAACCGACACGAAAATAATTTTTCAATTTAAATTAGTGATTCCTGAGATTAGTACGTTTAAACAAACAAAATCTTCAACTTTACATATAAAAAACATATTTAAATAAAAAACAAATGAATACGCGCAGTATTTCTAAAGAGGTCGTAAATTCGTTGGCTTCGGTTAAGATCCAATCCCCACGGGATCCAAGATGTTTCTAGTAATTAAATAAAACACTTTAACGGTTTAAAACGCGATATATTAGTTAAACTTATTTGAAACTGATTTTTAACTTCGGCCCTACGTTTCGGATGCTTTGCAGCAGCCGCGGTCACGGGGAGACAGTTTCAAATGAGTTTAACTAATACATCGCGTTTTAAACCGTTAAAGTGTTTTATTTAAATGTGTACTGCTCGCGTAAACTATATACAGTATGTTTCTAGTATTTTTAAACATGTTGGACTGTTAATGGACTTTATATGGGTGGCACAATTTTTGTCTGATATTCGAAGCCGAAAATAGGGCGACAACACATCTTGTCAAGATGTTATATAGTTGTATCATCAAGTACACTTCAAGCTTGTCTGTCCTCAATTATCGTAGAAAACATCCTCTATTGACCCACCACGCCGTTCCACTGTGGATTAGCCATCTAGCATCATAATAATGATGATAACACAACACCTTAGACTTACTCGCTATTTAAATAGAATACTCAACTTATTATAAAAATTATTTTAAATTATTTTAACTACGACCCGACGTTTCGTCTCTCCGTGACCGTGACTGCTGCAAAGTATCCGAAATATCGGGCCGCCGTTACAATAATTTGTAATTAATATATGTCGCGTTTTAAACCGGTAAAGTGTTTCATTTAAATGTACTACTCGTGTTACTAGATAATTTTCTCAGAAAAGTTCAATTCTAGAATTTTTATTATGTCGGAAATCGAACCCGGGCACTCGCCTCATTCGAGTCCACTAGGCGAACGAGGTAAATATAAAACACGTTTACTTTCTTATATTTCACGGCCGTAGCAATGAAATTCCTAGGTGTACTAAACCAGTTCTACTTTAGGACCAGAAGATAATTCTGTTCATAAAACTTAGCGTAAATATTGATTTTTAACACAATGATATTTCAGGCTGCCAGAGGCAGAGTGGCCTAATACAAAAAAAACATGACTTTCAATGAGGAAAATAAAAATGCGAAATTGACTTAGTTTAAAATGAATCTATACTGTTATTTGTGTAAGAATTATGTTAACAATTTTCGGTCACTGTGCTCTTGTAGACATTTTTAGACTATGTATAAAATAACTCAAGCCACCAAATTACAGTTAGGCTACTCTGGCTCTAGCGGTCTCATATTATATATAATACAAATGATAGTAATGGCTGTCAGTGTAATACTGTCTATAGTTTACGCAATTAGTACACATTTAAATAAAACACTTTAATGCTTTGCAGCAGCCGTGGTCACGTCACGACACGTCGGGCCAAAGTTAAAAATCATTTTCAAATAAGTTTTATTTAAACAAATGATAGTATTACAGAAAATATGTCATTAATTAAACAGCGACAGTTATTGTTTAAGTTTTAATTTGTTATATGTCATTATTATTTACTGGATGACCCCCGTGCGACCCAGGGCGTATTAAGGTGATCGCAGATTCGCTAGCGACGCACGCGCCGAGCGCACGGAATTTTAAAATAGGAATGTTGGCTATTCTTGAGAAAGTGTTTAATATTGTCGATACCTATTTTTTCAAACCTTTAAAAAGCCCTATTTTTTTTTAATTGTATACAAACATAGTATTACGATAATGACGTCATCGCTTTTTGATATCGAGGTTGTAAGTGAAGTTAAGAAATGTTAAATATAAAAAAATATTTAACATAAGCTGTAAGTTTTAAATAGTGATGTGTACCTCTTTGTAAATGAAATACTAAGAAAACACCGGAAAAGCTATTTAAATTTTCACATCGGCCGAACAGCCCGAAAGACGAACCGAACGATGGCCGTGAAAGCCTTACACAATTTATGTTTCTTTTAAGCCGTTAAATGTGTTTTATTTAAATCTATTGCGTAAACTACAGACAATACTTCTGTCTTTCACATTCATAAACCCGACGCGATCGGCGCGTGCGGCGATTACAACTGACAAATTTACGATCACCCTTACAGAAAATAAATATTCCAATTTTGGATTATATAAATATCTTCACCATTTGAAAACATTATATTTTTAATTTATTGACATGAAGGCACTATATAATTTAAAAATCAAAATAAATTGACTAACTTTGTAATTTCATCTTCAATATTTTTAGTGCAAAGATAAGACATTAGCCTTAATAGAAGTGTTAAGGTAAAATTAATTGAAGGTATATTTATTATAATTATATTGTAAGAAAAAATTATAAAATTTTTTAATTTATTTAAAATCTTACAGCTAAATTACGATTTGCTATTGCCTTTTATCGCGACCAGTATAATTCTCTGATGTGACGTCATTTGAAATTTTGTTCCAAGGCAACTTGTTGATGAAACTTCTGAGACATTGCAATTCTGTGTCACTTCTTAGGGTGCGTATACATTGAGCGGCAAACTCGCGGCAGAGAAACGCGGAATGGCCAGGACACTCCACCGCGCTCTAGTTAGAACAATGCGACGTTTGCGCGGCATAACGCGAGGCACGCCGCGTTCTTAAGATAGTTTGAGCCTAAGCTACACTGAAGATGTTTATCGGTGTTATAGATCTACTTATTATTAGAGAATTAAAATAAAATAAATCAAACAAATGCCATGCTGAATGATACTAGGTTTGTCCACTTTTGCCAAATAGATTCAGATACGATTACCGATGAACAATGCTTGAACAACACCCTTAAATTTAAATGAAACACTTTAACGGTTTAAAACGCGATATATCAGTTAAACTTATTTGAAATGATTTTTAACTTCGGCCCGACGTTTCGGATGCTTTGCAGCAGCGGTGGTCACGGGGAGACCGAGCCGGAGCCCGACGTTTCGCTAAAAATCATTTTCAAATGTGTTTAACTAATATATCGCGTTTTAAACCGTTAAAGTGTTTTATTTAAATGTGTACTACTCGCGTAAACTATAGACAGTATTTAACACCCTTAAATTTATCATATACTTTCTCTTCTTGTCTTGCCGCGTGTTTGATAAAAACGTAATACACATAATTTATACTATCTATATCAATAATAATATTTATCGTAACACATGAGTTTTATCTCACTGAACCCCTCAAAGAAGTCTCGATAACGTCAAGTTTGTCATTTCAAATATAGAATAAAAAGTATTATGTATTGATAAATTTTTTGTTTCGGAATTTAAAAATTTTATTGGCCAAGTACAATAGTATAGGCGGACAACACATTAAGATCCCAAGTCATTGTACTGCCTACCTGCAAGCAAAAACTTCTTTATAACACTGCACTATGAAGCACTCTATACTAATATTATAAAAAAAAAAAAAGAAAACACCAAACCCCAGAAACAACAATTTAAAAAATAACTTGAAAAAACGACGGGACGCGACCGCGGCATGTACACATTTATACAGATGAAATATATATGTTATGAAGTTTGATATACTAAGTACTGCCTGTGTAGTTTACGAGAATACGTACGCACAACGACGTCACGGGGGGACTAAGGGTGTCCCTACGTCAAAGTGAAATCTAGCTAGCAAACGGCTGTTGCAAATCATCCATAACATCGGGTCGTAGTGCCATTTAATTAAATACATAATTTTTAATTATAGATAAATAAAATTTAAAACACCGTGGGGTATGGGGCATTTCTGTGTCTATTTTGCTTTCGATTTTATGATCATGGAATAAGTTAAATACTGTCTTTAGTTTACGCGAGTAGTACACATTTAAATAAAACACTTTAACGGTTTAAAACGCAATATATTAGTTAAACATATTTGAAAATATTTTTAACTTGGCCCGACTTTCGGATGCTTTGCAGCAGCCGTGGTCAGGGGAGACCACGTTCAAATAAGGTTAACTAATATATCGCGTTTTAAACCTTAAAGTATTTTATTTAAATGCAAAGTTGATCGGAATTATGAGCCCAACTGAAAAATTTTACTTCCCAGGATTTGAACACGAGACTTGAAACGAAATGCTGTTACTTACGCAAGAGGCGGTTTGAAAACTTATATATCCTGTACATATCTAGTAGTACACATTTTAATAACGGTTTAAAACGCGATATATATTAATTAAACTTATTTGAAAATTATTGGTGGGGTTAGCCTCCCCGTGACCACTGTAAACCGCTAAAGTGTTTTATTTTAACTTATCTATACATATAATAACGGAATGGAAATTGTCTATAAGTGTGTTTGCGTAAACGCGTAAAGAACAGACTATAATTTATTGAAGAACGTTGTAACTTTTCGACATAATAGTTTGTGCACACATTATATTTATACTCTGTGACGGCTGTTGGAAAATGCGAATAGAATTTTCTATTTCCCCAAGTATTTTCATTTTGTGGACGTTGATATATGAGTTTAATTCGGAATGTCTCCGCGACGTATGTAAATCTCACTAGACTTAGTTTTAAGTGTGTATACAATCTCAAAGGGGGCATTAGGGGTTGTGATATGGGGCACTGGAGGGGTATATTTATGTGTTATAACACAATGAGTTCCAAATTTGCGATCTATGATTAGATAGATAGATGACGTAAAATGGAATTCTATTTTTAAGCGTGTATACAATCACACTTTCAAAGGGGCACTAGGGGCGTGATATGGGGCACTGGGAGGAAATATTTTAGTGTCTTTTTGCTATAACACAATAAAGTACGAAATTGCCATCTGTTATTCAATACGTAAAAGTCCCTATGGTGGAGTTCTTATTTAAAAGTGTGTATATATTTGCATTTTCAAAAAGGGACACTGGGGGGAACTAAGTGGGGCCCTTGGTGGGCCATTGTTGTGTCTTTTCGCTTTAAACTATTAAGCTAGCGGTGGTGTGGTCTCTTATTTGATGATTAAAAACACCTGTATAAGGGATATGAGTCACAGTTCTGTGCCTGTTTCAACGATCAATTTTGAAGACAAGCATATTTTTTATTAACTTGACCTCACAAAAAGGATGATAGATCGACCAGGTAGGTATCTTGTATATAGGTATAGTAGTCAACTTATTATTATTTTGACTACGCCCCAATATTTCAGCCCTCCAAATTCAGTCCCCCCCCTGACAACGGCCGCTGCAAAACATACAAAACATCAAGCTATTGTTAAAATAACAAAAAAATAAGTTACTTAATATATTTCTCGTTTTGAACCGTTTAAACTGTTTTATTTAAATGTACCATATACTTTTGATTAATAACCACACAATGCTACCTACTATTGGACCCACGTGGCAGTTACAACATAATTTTTACTCGTCTCAGCGTATTGTAATAAATTTTCCCTGCACTTCACTTACCCTACATATCTTCGCGCGAAAGAAAATAATTTTCACTTTAAAACGCATTTTCTTCGGGAAGTTTGAATTCACTTGCTCCGTTCTTTCAGTGCCTTTAATATTTCCCACTCTAATACCCTATCCAGGTCCTCTAAAATGAGAAACGTGATGGAGTTAACATAAATACTGTCCGTAGCTTACGCGAGTGGTCCATTTAAAAAAAACCCTGTTAACGGTTCAAAACGCTTTTAATTCTTTTAAACAATATCCCGATGTCTTCGATACTTAGCAGCCGCCGTTAAAATATTCTATTTTTAAACAATGCGAGCCCGTTAGTCTATTGCTGTGGTAAGTAAGTCGACAATGACAAAGTAGGCCGACAGCTCATCGTATTAGATGTTATATGGCTGGCGTATTTCACCTTTCATCAAGTAAATCCTATGTGTGGTAGCCATATCGAAATCGCGAATTGTGAAGCATGTTGGACTCTGTCTACAAATCTGTATATAAAATGGGTGGTAGGAATGTTGAGATTCCTTCCGGGTCACGAACCACCGTCCGCAGATGAAAAAGTGAAGTTTAATCGCATTTCGGTTTTACTCTATGGATCTCCGCATCTTGTTTAGATGTTACGTGGCTGGGGTCCTACCAGTTGAAGCTGAAGTTTGTCTCTCGTCCTGTAACAGAAAAAATATTACTTATTAACAAATAGGTGTTCCGACAAATTGCTATAAGTAAATAGTAAGGCGTGAAATTAAATACTGTCTATAGTTTACGCGAGTAGTACACATTTAAATGACACACTTTAACGGTTTAAAACGCGATATATTAGTGAAACTTATTTGAAAATGATTTATCGCTTTCGGCTGCCGCAAAGCATCCGAGAACGTCGGGCCGAAGCTAAACATAATTTTTAAATAAGTTTAACTAATATATCGCGTTTTAAACCGTTAAAATGTTTTATTTAAAGGCGTGTAATATTTTAATTTAATTTATATATAAACTTAAGTACCTATTATTATAAGCCAATGCAGGGGTTCGGAACCATTTGTATGATAGTCCGGTTGAAATACTAATAACGAATAGCAACAAGTCGTTTGGACGATTAACTACCATAATTTGGCTCTGGATATAAATCGGCCTTAGAAACATATAATGATTTTGGGCTGAAAGGCGTCGAGACTACTATGACTATGACCCGATACTGCTTAATAAACGAACGAAATATATTTTCGAGCAATTTAGGAGCTAAAATCTCTGATGATGCGTCCGCGTAAAGGCGAAACTTGAAAAAAATTAATCGCACTTCCTGGTTCGAATGACCAAGGACTCGTAGAGGTGCATGTATCAATTGGTAGAGCAACAGCGACGTTCAAGTCCTGCTCGAGTCGAAAATTAAAGTATTCAAACGTCGAGAACATCTTCTCGCACAATTCGGCCGAACGGCCCGAGAAATAAAGATATACTTACGCTACCTAAAATGCCCTCGATTCAATTGACTAGTGTTTAAGCCTACTACTACATAACGTCTGCATATTTAATGATAACTGTATTTATTTTAGCTTCGAGTGGCAAAGATTAATAATTCAGAGATGATGAGAAACTCAACTCATGACAAATTATTATTTTTTAGATGTTTATTTTATTAGTTTAATTTATGTATAAACTACAAGCTATGCCACCGACTTTGTCCTCATGGTATAGTCATTATGGGCATCATACTCATTTTTACAATTAACCTCCTCAGCTTGGATGGGTACTCCCCCCCCATCATTTTCTCGTTTTTCCACATTTCCACAGTTTCTTTGTGTCATCAATAGCTCACTATTACATATATAAAAATAAGACGCAAGTAACCAAATGGAATGACATATGTAAGCTAAGCTAAGCTAAACAAATATATATATACATATACTGTTAAGTATTGTTTGTTATTTACGCGTGAAATATAGATTTAAATAAAAAAACTATCTAACGCGTAGTATATTAGATAGTTTTTAATTTATTCTGACACTTGTGGACGCCCTCCATCTTTAGTCCCCCCGTGACCACGACCGTTTCGATTGCACAGGAGTCCGATCAATAAGCCTATATATATACAAAAAATAATATATTAACACAGAACTTTTAATGGCCTAACTATGATTTAATTTTATATATTTCGCGTTTAAATCTGTATAGCAAACGTATCTGAGAATTTTTCGCTATATCTTCTTTTATGTACGTATAACATTGTTTGATTAGAAATCGCTTTATAAAACTGTAGCATAATCATGAATCCGTTAAATTAGTATCAAAGACAATGACGGAGAAAGAATACACAAAAATACCAACTAAGGAACTAGAACACGATCCTGGTAAGTTTTTACCAGATACCTCTATCAGACAGACAGGCATGTCGTTAACTTGATGGTAGCCGAAATACCCTAGCTATAAACTAAACTAGATCAGACAAACGCTCTCTTGTCTCATGTTCGAAGAAATTTGCACTCTGTATAAACTGTTTTTGTGATTATACACATATACTGTTGTGGACATATTTTAAGACTAGCTGTGCCCGCGACTTCGCCCGCGTGAAATCGTGACTTGGGGTAGAATTTTTAATTGAGGCTGTTTATTAATTTATGTAATTGCGCATTTATCGCAGCCAATCTAGGTTGTAAGTGCTACTTTGCCGCTACACTCTAACCTCACATCACTCCTACTCTAATTCCTACACTCAGTCCCACTCCCACCCCTATTCCCAAAAAGCCAAAGAAAATAGTTTCATTGTTCTAGTTTCAAAAATCACGAATTTTCATGAAAACTTTCATCCCCCTTTTCAACCATTATCAACACTTTTATGGCATTAAAAAATTTAAATATCTGTGTACCAAATTCCATTTAAATCAGTTCAGTAGTTTCGGAGTTAAAGCCGGACAGACAGATAGACAAACAGAGTCACTTTCGCATTTATAATATTAGTATAGATTATTCAGGTAAGAATTTTCACGTGTTTTCCACATTTCCCACTGTTTCATCGCTCCTATTTGTCACAACGTGATGTTTTATATCTTATATCGTTCCGTTATAATTGTTCTAAATAACATACAATTATTTTTTTCAATTCAAACCAGTAGTTCCTGAGATTAGCGCGTTCAAACAAAAAAATTAACAAACTCTTCAGCTTTTTACATTAGTATAGGTTATAGTCGTTTATCAATAAGGGTGAAAATCGCCTGTGTTTTATATAGGCCGCATTCAAACATATATTTTTGTTTTTAATCTTAAACGGAACCTAAAACGTACGATTAGTTAGTTTGCCCTTCATACAGATTAGTGACAGACAGGCACTAAAAATCTTAGTCATAGGGTTCTGTTTAAATAAAACACTTTTAACGGGTCAAAACGCATATAAAACTTGAGTTATTTTTTACAAATTTTAAACGATCCAACCTTGTGGACGTTTTGCAACAGTTGTGGTCACAGGGAGGTCTGAAAATGAGGGTGTGTCAGGTGAGGTTATGTCAAAGTCAAATTAAAATCGTACTATTCGTTCATTAATGTAAGTATTACACTTTACAATATATATTTTTTACGGTTTTAAACGTGACCTATGTTAGACCGTAACTTTTAACACGGACCTTGACCACGGCTGGCGTCAAGCATCCGAAACGTAGGGCGGAATTTAAAACAAATTGTAAATAAGGTAAGTAATATATTTCCTGTTTTAAACCGTTAAAAGTGTTTTTCTGAATAGGGTTCCGTTTAAATAAAACTGGCTATTACTTGGCGTGGCGTCTTTACAACCAATCGACAACTTTATCTCGTGTTTTTAATTTTAGCTCATATATTTATTTATCTTGTTTGTCTTATAAGAGGAAGTCCACAGTGCAAACAAACGTATTTCGCCTCTATTTCTTAACGAAATAATGATTTTTATACTAACTTTCTCGTTGGCTCAGTAATTAGTTATTGACTGGGGATTATAAAGTCCAAGGTTTATTCTCGAAATGTTGTCTAAAAAAATGTAAAGAAAAATTTTCTATTTATTCTTGATTACAAATTAACCTTTTGCGTTTTAAACCGTTATTAAAATGCGTATTAGTCAAGTTGAATACATGAAAAACCTGTTGCTATTTGAAAACTTTATTATTTTTCACTATTTATTGCACACGGTAGCTCAACTGTTTTAAACAACAGCACGGAACGCTGTGGATGTCGGGTCAAGGCTCTCCCGTATCGTATAATTTTTCAATCTGATCAATCTATTAAACTAGAAGTTAGAAAGTTAGCCCATCACGGCGCAATGGAACAGCGTGGTGGGTCCAAGCTACAACATCCATTCTATAGAAAAAAGAGGCCGCGCGATAACTTATAGCAGTGAGACTACCTTGAAGTTAGAAATAAACCCACCTCACGATATTGGAATAACATGGTGGGTCTATGCTAAAACCTCTACGATAGAAGAGACTTGTGCGAGCATAATGTACCAAGTTAAAGATAAATATTTAAATGATTTTATTTTTAAATAACATCAAAGTTTTAAGAACAAGATCGGATTATTGTAGACCCCACCATTATTTACCTAGATAGGCCAACAAAATACGGGCGCACGTACAGCCGCCGTGGTCATGGTAGCTAATATATTTCGCTTTTAAACCTTAATATTCAAAAGATTTAATTTCGCTTTATTCATTAAAGGAGATCGGGAAAAAAAAGGGGAGGAAAAAAAGGGGGGGCGAGAGGCCCCGGGGGGTTTTTGGGGGGGAAAACTCCCCCCAGCCCGGGCCGGGCTTTTTTGGGGGGCGAAAATTTTTTTTTGGAAAACCCCAAACTTTTAAAAATTTAAGGTTTCGCCCGGGGAGTCGGGCGCGTCCCGTCGTTCTTGCATGTTAATCTTGAAAGTTAACATAATGTACCAGAGTTTGCCTATAAGTTAAAGATAACCATATTTAAATGATTTGAAGAAGTAGACATCAATAAATTTATATGCAGTTTAACAAGACCGAATTATTGGAGACCCTTCCTTTTTTTTTGTATTTTTTTTTTTTTTGCCGCCCCCCCCGCGCCCCCCTCCCCCCCCCACCGCCCCCTGCGAAAAAACCCAAAAAACCCGGCCCAAGTTAAAAATCATTTCCAAATAATCATAATCGCGTTTTAGTCTAAATAAAAAGTTTTTTTTTAAAAGTGTACTTCTCGCGTAAACTATATACAGTATATAATACATACATTCCCCCTTTTCTTCCGCTGTTTCCCCCCACCTTTTAAAGAAAATTAAAAAAAAGGCAAAAATGTTTTATTTCTTCCAGTACGGTCTGAGGTTAGCGCGTTCAAACAAACAAACACCAGCTTTGGTAAAAAGTATATATTTTTATTTTTTAAAAACCTTGTCGGTTCGGAAAGCGATATATTGGTATCTTTCGGCCCAACTTTCGGATGCTCTACAGCAGCCGGGGTAGTGCACGTTTCGAGCTCTAAAGCATCAAAGTCAAAGTCATTTTTCCCCCCGACCACGGCTGCTGCAAAATCCGAAACGTCGGGCCGAAGTTAAAAATCATTTCCAAATAAGTTTAACTAATATATCGCGTTTTAAACCGTTAAAGTATTTTATTTAAACAGACAGTATTGTTAAGTTAGTTAAAATTTGTAAATATATGCGATGTTACCAATAGTAAAAAACCGTTACAACGGTTTAAAAATATGTTTTTAGATTGAATATTGGTTTCATGTGTACAAAATAAAAAAAAAACTTAAAAGTGATTTTGTTACAGAACCGAATCCTGTTCTTCCAAAATATGGGTATGGAGTACGACATCTACAGGCGTTTCTTGCTTTCCTAACACTCGCCTTTGCTTACCTGGCAAGAGCACATTTGGGTGTGACAATTGTCGCAATGACCAATGAAATTGAAAACAACACGCTGTATAATCATACAGAACCCACTATACAGGCTGTTCTAAATAATACCGAAGTTAATTTGGAAAGTAGCGAATGGAATATTTACAGAGTAAGGATTTTATCGTAAACTCCTCCTTTACGTAAGAATTTAAATGCGTGTTATTAGTTCGAATTCCGGAAAAGCCATAATTTCGTTCAACCAAGGCACATAAAGATGTAACGGACATAAAAGTACATATCTAATTTGAGAGTAGCTTTAAACGATTTAGAACGTGAAATATACTTCAGTAAGACCATCGATATTCTGTCGATATTATTTTTCTCGTTTTTAACCGTTAAAAGTGTTAAAAAGTTTTATCTCAATAAAAACATTTTTAATCAAATCATGTCCAATTCTTGCTTTAGACTTACAGATGGCCAAAATCCACGCAAGAGATAGCGTTGTCATCCTTCTTCATGGGGTATTTTATAATGACATTTCTGAGTGGGATAATATGTCAAAAGTGGGGGGGAAAGATCCCGCTCCAGATAGCCATGCTGGTAAATGGCGTTGTGTCCATTTTGTCGCCCTGGGCCATTGCGTGGGTAAGGTCCAATTTTTAATGGCGTCGCTCTTATGGTTTGTAGCTAACGGCTATTTTCAATTCGACTACGTTGTATCTGTGGTTTAAATGACTACATATTATTTAACGATTTTCGAACGTTGTCTGTAGTTTACGCAAATATTGTCCGATACATTTAAATAAAACACTTTTAACAGTTTAAAACGTAAAATGTATTAGTTAATTTATTTACAAATTAATCAAATATTAAAGATCAAATTAGTTAATTATTGTAAAAAGTCAAGTCGCTTTTAAATAAAAATATTTATTTAAAAGCATTTTATAAACACATTTTAAAGATTTAAAACGCAAAAAATATTAGTTGATTGTGTTTACAAATTGTTTTTAACTACGGCTCGACGCTTGAAACAGCCCTGGTCTCGGGGAGATTAAGATGGAGGGTGTCTCTAATGTCAAAGTAAAAAACTGCTACGCTAGCGCCATCTGTTAGTACGTAATTGGTATTTGGTTTAAAAGTGCTTTATTTAAACTTCGAACGGTATAAAACTGAACACTGACTTTTACTGAGTTTTTAGTGTTACCTAAATGGTAAAGCTTAACCGTAATAATTATTTATTTGCTAATAAATAAGTACTCAAATTTTTGCTATTTGAAATTTTTTGCTAATAACTAATTAATCAACTGTGCTATATGTGTACGTTGTTCCAAAATTGAAATTTTGAATTTAGAATGCTTTATTTTATCGACTAATATTTCTATACCTTAAGCACAATTATCTTACATGATTAAACTTTTCGTTATATACAGGGTGATTGGAAAGCTTTAGCAGCCTGTCGGGTCATACAAGGGTTGTCGCAAGGAGGTATGTTACCCGGAATCCATACTTTGTTGGCAAATTGGGTCCCGCTCAGCGAAAGAGGAAGTCTTAGTAGTTACGTGTATACAGGTAAAGAGAAGATAAATGAAAGCCACTGTTTTATACCGTCTGTATTAACACGAGTAGAACACATTTAAACAAAACATTTTAACGGTTTAAAACGCGATATAAATTAATCAAACTTATTTTAATATTTTAACTACTTAATACTAACTTAGGCGACGTTTCAAATGCTTTGCACCAAACGTGGTCACGGGGGAAACGTCGGACCGTAGTTAAAAGATTCAAATAAGTTTAACTAATATATATGGCGTTTTTAAACGTTGAACGTTATTTAAAAGTAATTTCTTAATAACCTATCGCGCAATATAATTTCAACCTTAACACTTGCGTATTACGGTTGCATGTATCAATAAGTTGAAAAAATTCGACGATGAGGTGTAGGACTCGGTAGCTCAATTGGTAGAGCAACAGCACGGAACGCTGACGATGCCCGTTCAAGTCCTGCCCGAGTCGAAATTTTTTTCAATTCATTTTCGATTTTTAAATTGTATAGTGCCTTCATGTGCTATAACATGTAAAAAATAATAAAGTTTATATACTAATAATGTCATTGATAAAATTTTCAGTGTATAATCATATTTATTATAATAGGATCAGGATTTGGCACGGTAATCGGTTTCCAGTTCAGTGGTCTCCTTGCGTACAGCCGCTTCGGATGGCCATCCACATTCTGGGCGGTTGGACTGTTGTGTTTATTCGGCTTTACCTTGTTTTCCATCTTCGGATCAGCAACTCCAGGTGACCATAAGACTATTTCTGAAGAGGAGAAGAACTACATAATAGGAAGGTCTGGAGAGGGCACGCAAACGGTAAGATAACAATTTAATTTCGAATGAATCAAAAGAAGAATATAAAATATATAAAAAGGGGGGTGGTAGAATAATGGAAATTCTGTCTAATTTATGAACCGACAACAGATGGAAAACACGTGAGTTTACTGGCTCGGTTTTTGTACTGTCGACATAGAAATGTTATAAGGTTGGGTCACCTTCTTTTAAGAACCCCCATGCTAATCTGTTCTCATTTATCAGAAAACAAACATAGATTTCACCTACAACTTCTTCATACGGCTTGGTTGTCCTATATATCGTTAAAAAGCCAGGGGTCGTGCATTCCATTCCTATAGATGTTCATTTGTATTTATTTTAACGTTTTTTATAACCTACTCTTCACTCAATTCTATAAATAGTTGTCTACCCTCCAATAGTTACTAAAGTTTATACCTAATACTGTTAATAAATTTCATACATTTTATAATGTGAACACGGTTTTGTATTATTTCTTCTTATATATCTCTGTTAACATTAATGTATATACTCTCTACAGTTTGCGAGTAGTACACATTTAAATAAAACACTTTAACGGTTTAAAACGCGATATATTAGTTAAACTTATTTGAATGACGAGTCTCCCCGTGACCACGGCTGCTGCAAAGCATCCGAAACGTCGGGCCGAAGTTAAAAATCGTTTTCAAATAAGTTTAACTAATATATCGCGTTTTGAACCGTTAAAGTATTTTATTTAAATTAATGTATATCAAAATATTTTGTTGGTAATAAGGATAAGTCACTAGTGTACACTAGGGTAAGCATAAAGCCAATCTATATACAAACATATAAAGCTGAAGAGTTTGTTTGATTTGTTTGAACGCGCTAATCTCAGGCACTACTGGTTCAAATTAAATAATTATTTTTGTGTTAGTTAGAGCATTTGTTGTGACTAACAAAAGCGAAGGTACAGCGGGAAGTGTGAACAAAACGGGGAAAATTTTTCATCTCTGTGGGTTTCAGATGCGTACGCTGCGAAAACGGCTCAAGACACCCAAAAATATGTAGGAAAAAATAATTTCTCCTTAAATGATCTAAAAAAATGTCTTTTAAGATTAATTTGCAAAAACGGGACTCGAAACACAGGTCGCGCGCGACGGGACGCGACCGATGTCGTGGGCAGCTTCAATTTATAACGATGTAGAGGTTCGCAAAAACAAATCTGGATGTCCAAAACAACTATTCTACGCGGACGAAGTCGCTGAAACAGCTAGTATTAAATAAAGGATTTAAAAAATAAAATAACAATAACCTGTTATAAAACCTTTTATTATGAATTCAATTTTTGCTCTTTACAGCAACCGAGTGTACCTTGGAAGACGATTCTGACTTCAAAACATGTCTTGGCCAATTTCGTTTCACATATCGGCAACGTGCTGTGTTTCACATTTTATTTCATGCAAGTACCGACTTATATGTTTGCGATACTAAAGGTGAACATCAGGAATGTAAGTAAATATTTGTTAAGGCTAGTTAAAAAAATGTAATAAAACATTTTTAACGCTTTAAAACGTTAAACATATCGAGTTTTTTAATGGGAATTAACTTACTAATTAGTTGAGTGATACATTTCTCGTTTTAAACCGTTAAATGTTTGAAAACTTTAAAATTTTTCACATGATGGCACTATATAATTTAAAAACCGATAAATTGAAAAATATATATATATGACGATGCAGGTTCAAGTCGATATTTTTTTTAAATTAATTTTCGATTTTTAAACATTAATATTCTTCACACGTTATTGCACATGGTGGCATTATATAAATTAAAATCGACTTTTGATTGAAAAATATATACGACACGGATAGGACCTGAACCGTCATCTACAGCGTACCATGATGTTGTTATAACCAATTGAGCTACCGTGTCCTACACGTGCCGTGGTCACGGGTCACGGGGAGACAAGTGACCACGGCTGCTGCAAAGCATCCGAAACTTTGAGTTTAACTAATATACACCGCGTTTAAAACGCGTTTATATTACAGAGTGGTCTTCTGTCTTCTCTTCCGTACATCTTCTTCATGATGATGTCTATGTTATCTGGAAATATTTCTGATGCCTTAATCAATAAGAAGGTTATGACCACGAAGAGTGTACGGAGACTAGCAAACACTATTGGTAAAGTATAATTTAGTCCCAACTTATAAAAGTCCTACCACTGGGCTACCCGTGTCCGGTCTTAAAAGATATGTCCCAGCTATACCTGGGACCGACGACTTATCGTGCTATCCGAGGCATATGCATGAAGACATCTCCACCATTCACCAGGATGACACTGAAATCGAGCTGTCGAAGTAACATTTCGCTGAACTTTACGTTTGAACCCGGGACCTCGTCATCGCTACACTGTTCTAACCACTAGACAAATGCGACTTACACCTGGGTCATAATTTCATACAGTGTTTTAGTATAGCACTTTTAAATTTCAAACGCATATTGTATGAGTTACCTCCAATTTACTCCATGACCACGGCTGGTTCAAAGCATCCGAAACGGTGTGTCGTAGTGAATAACGAAATAATTTAAACATACTGTCTATAGTTTATTCGAGTAGTAAACTTTAAAAAAGACACTTTTGACGGTTTAAAATGCATTTATTAGTTAGCAAATTTAATATGTGAAGTTTCGGATCGGATACGGATCAAATTTTAAGCCGTTAAAAAGGTTCAAATAGATTTATAATTCCTATGAAAAATATATTTGTTAACGGGCCATAGTTAAAATAACTAAATTAATATATTTCGTGCTTAAAACCGTTAAGTGTTTTAATTTCACTATCGCCCGTACTAAAAATAAGCTAACAAATATGTTTTGCGTTTTAAACCGTTTAAAAGTGTTTTATTTAAATGTGAACTAATGGACGTGTTTTTTCAGCTTCCACAATTCCAGCTATCTCTCTCTGCTTAGTGTCTTACACCGAAAACGTGAATTTAGCTCTTATGTGCTTCGTGATAGCTCTAGGTGCGCAAGCGGTTATGCATTCCGGCTGGATTGTACGTATTGACCTTCACTTATGACAGATAAACACGGGGTTAGTTGATGGAAGGTAAAATTCACTAGTCATATAAACATTTGAATATCGCTGTCGACCTGCTGAGCTGTTTAACCGTCTGTCGTTAACAGCATGTAAAATTTCATTGCGGCAAAATTCTTTGGGAGCAGCAGTTCGGAGTTTGGAGTGTCTACAGCCCGAGTAGATCGACTATACATCTTTTTCAGCTGTTATACGGCTGGAGTGACCTTCCATCATGTAAACCCGAGTTTGCATATCCCTCCCTATTATAAATTGTATCACTAGTAATGTATTTTGTGATCATGTTATTTATATAAATTAAAAAATCTATTTATATTGAAATAATTGTATGACATGGGCAGGACTTAACAGTCACCCACTGCTGCAGCTGATCTTAACTGTAGATGCTGCTACCGTGTCACTAAATAGATTTTCAATTTATATATACTACATTTCTGCAGCGGCCGGCAAGAGAGGCATTGATGGATGAACGTGTAAGTCCAGAAGTGACTAGTTGCGGCCGAAGCTTGTCTAGTACTTAAATACCGGCTATAGTTTACGCGAGTAGTACACATTTAAATAAAACACTTTAACGGTTTAAAACGCGATATATTAGTTAAACTTATTTGAAAATTATTTTTAAATTCGGCCCGACGTTTCGAATGCTTTGCAGCAGTCGTGATCACGGAGAGACTAATAAGTTTAACTAATATATCGCGTTTTAAACCGTTAAAATGTTTTATTTAATTGTCTAGTACATGTCTCAAATAAAGCGCGGAAATTAGAACTAAGTAGGTAGTACAATTCAGGACGTTAAAACCAAAGACAAGTTTTTTTTTTCCACTAAACAGCTTTCCATGTTTAAATAAAACAGTTTAACGGTTTAAAACGCGATATATTGTAGTGAAACTTTTTTTTTTATTTTTTTGGATGCTTTGCAGCAGCCGTGGTCACGGTGAGACTAAAGATGGAGGATGTCTCTAACGTGAAAGTAAAAATTGCTCCGCTATCGCCATCTGTTCCGTCGAAGTTGGTATTTGGCGAAACTGGTTGAGTCCTTTCAGAATTGACTCACGGTGTCTTCGCCTTTGCTGCTAAAATCTATCGCATTCTAAACCGTTAAAGTGTTTCACTTAAATGTGTACTACAGTCACTACAGACAGCTTTCTATGTGCAAGCCGGTTCGAAATTCAAATTGAACCGTTCTTAAGTTACTTCTTTGGTCGCCATGTTGCGGAGTAGATCGTTCTATTTTCAAATGTATTTGGCCTAAACACGACAGATATGGACTTTCATACAACGATTGCCGGCCGCTGCTCGACCAGTACACCAAGTTCGATTTTTCTCGACGAAGATTATGAAAATAATGCTTAAATTTGAAAGAATGTTTCAAGAAACTATACTAATATATATATTATAGTATTGTTTAAGTTTGCATTATTCTTTTAGGTGAATTACATAGATTTATCACCGAATTATAGTGGTGTACTTATGGCGGTCGGTAATGGCTTAGCCAACTTAGCCGTCCTAGTTCTACCTGTGATGGTGTCAAATATTGTAACGGACGTGGTAAGTAACTTGTATTGAATATTATTAACTATACATTACTTTAAACATTTCGACCGCCCCTGTAGCCAAATGGTTAAACCTATTGCCTAGCATTGCGTTAAGCGCGCGAGATCCTGGGTTCGAATCCCGGGGATACAAAAATTTCGGTCGGGCAGGGCACAGAAGTCTCATAAACTGCTTGTTTGTTAAAGAACGGATCAGTGAAACGGACACACAGATGTCCATGGCCCCGGGGGAGGGGGGTGGAGGGTGTTTAACGGGATTACATTACGTATTCTCTTTTACAGACAAACCAAGTACAATGGCGGATCACCTTATTTATAATGGCTGGTATAACACTCCTGACTAACATTGTGTTTGTCATTTTTATATCTACCGATGTGCAACCATGGAATGAGGTGAAACATGGTAAGTGATTTACTAAAATTACAAACGAACCACCGTCCACAGATAAAACAGCCGTGAAGTTTAATCGCATTTCGGTTGCAGTCTGTGCATTTCCGATTATCCAAAGCCTAAAAAAGGCCGACAGCGCATCTGGTTTAGATGCAATAGGCTGGGGTTTTTCATCTACTATTAAATGAACGACATGCTTGTCTATCCCCTTCTATCATGTTTTATTTTTTTCTATTTACAGAAGCTGAAGATGCAACCCAAAAGAGTTAAAGCGAGCTTTTATATGTGCATTTAATTAAATAATTTAATTTATTGACTTTACATCATCTGTCTTAAATGTTAGCAAGACCTGTTACTTCTTTGTTTAGGACAGACATTAATATAGTCTCCCCGTGACCACGGCTGCTGCAAAGCATCCGAAAAGTCGGGTCGAATTAAAAAAAAATATTTTCATATGAAAACTTTAATATTTTTCACATGTTATCGCACGTGAAAGCACTATATAATTTAAAAATCTAAAATAAATTTTTAAAAATTCGACTCGGGCAGGACTTGAACCGGCGTCGTCCGGTGTGGCTTTTTGTTGAATATTTTTTTCGATTTTTAAATTATTTTCAAATAAGTTTAACTAATATATCGCGTTTTAAACCGTTAAAAGGTTTTATTTAATGTACGAACGAAAGATTTTAGGTGAAAAATAAATTACCACACGGGCAGGACCTGAACCGGTTTTGTTCTGTTGCTCAAACCAATTGAGTTAGCGTGTCCTAAGTATATGTATAAAAGTAGACATTTGACGGTTTAAAACGATAAATATATATTTTTTGTATTACAATCTGACGAGTATAAATCAATATTAAATTTGGCTAAATGATAAATTCTACAATTTAAACCGTTAAAGTGATTTATTTTACGAGTACCACTCGCGTTATCTACAGACAATACTGATTTGTATTACAAATGAGAAAAAAGAGTTAAGTGCGTGTCGGAATTCAGCACGAAGGGTTTCGTTCCGTTTACAAGGTGGACATCTGTAGATACACAATACAAAGTTATTTAAATTAAACGTAAAGATGTATTTTTAGGCCGGCGCGTGGGTTGGGAGCTTTGGAGTTCCCTCATAAGCACCGTAGTAGTGGTGTGTTTAGTGGTTCTGGTCGGCTATGGTCTTTAAGGAGGTGGTAGTTCGATTTACCACACTGTCCACGTCACTATGACCAGTCAGTTATAAAAAGGCGCGGGCGCAAACCCCAGATTAGCTATCACACGTTGAAATGAATGTAGTGATCGAATCCATCGAGTGTTGGCGCAGATTTGGAGAGATGTTTACGTTGAATATTCTCATTGTGTTCCTTAAATCTGTTTAAGATGTTAGAGATGCTGTAATTTGACCGATATACACACTGTTATTGTACAACAAAACAGTTGCCGCATAGTCAAACTAAAGATAAGTTTTGTAATAAATTGGCATTTTAAACCGTTAATAGTGTTTTATTTAAATGTGTAAACTACAGACGATTTTAAAAAGGTTTGCACCTCTCCCCTTACGGAACCCTAGAAATGAGCACTTTCATAGAGTTTTCTAAAGTTAAACAAAACGAGCATGACTGAGTGTCCAAGAACATAAAGAGAGATTCAATTTTAGATTAACTTAGCTAAGCGCGCAAATTTAAATTTGGAACATAAAAATGTTTTATCGTCAGCATGATCTACTTTAAGTCAAACTTTTTTTAACTTTACATAAATAAAACAATTTTAACGGTTTAAAACATGTAATATTTGATATTTAGAATCAATCAAAACTATTTACTTTTTTTTGTAAATAGGTTATCTAATATTGATTACGCGCTGGTAAAGTTTAACTATTATGAAAATGTAAAATTACTTCCAAAAAACAGCTGGAACTCATCTGGCATCTGGCTAATTTATTTGACAATAGGGGGATTAGATAAAATTAAGGACACGCCGAATAGTATTAGTTCAACGGGCTTCACGCACTTGTAATTAGTTAAAGTGGTGTCAACGACCCGCGCGGTGTCCGATAACTGCCCTAATTTTGCTAGGCCTGTCTTCACTGCTTGTGGTGCTTGAGGTGAGCGGGCAGGAAGGATTAGCTATTGATGGAAAGGGCATACAAGGTCGTTTTGGATACCTGTTACCTAAAATAATCCAGTCCTAAAGGGCGAAATAGCCACCCAAATATACTTTGATGCCTAAAACTTTAAAACGGTTTTATTTATATCCTCCGGATCCAAAAAATTTCCTAAACAACTTATAATTTTATAAAACATGTTTGACTTCGTAAGGAAACCTGGATATTAAAGGCTATAATTCGGCCTTACACGAGGTCTTGACGTCAAAGGGGGATAATGGGGAACGAAGGTCGATCGAATCAAGATCAAACATTAATTATTGACATTTAAGTCGTTGTGAATTTTCTGTAACGACCCTTTAGCGAAATCAAATGCCTGCTTCTAACGAAATTTATCGTTGTCCGTATTTAACATTCCGATGGAAGTAATTACTGTTTTTACACTGTCCGATAACGATTTTTTTAAGAAAAGGTGAATACGGGACTCTGTTAAGACTTCGTTGTTTGTCTGTCATCTGTTTGTACCTAAACACTGCGTCTGCGCAATGTTAGATGTACATCATCTAACATTGCGCAGACGTATAAGAAATAAATAATATTAGTACATCCCTGATAAAAATAAATAATCTATTAATCCTAAAAAATAACATTGATCTTTTTGCAGTTTTGAATAGACTTCGGTTCTGGACCGAATTTATTGTCTACCCAGGATTCGAATCAACGACTTCTTTAGAACTTAATGCAATGTTAATGGTCTCTCGAATTAAACATAATCTACAAAAAGGTGACTTTCAGAATATATTCTTCTTTGCGTCAAAATATAACTTTGAATAAAACGATTTTAACGGTTTAAAAGTCGAAAATGTTTGTTAACTCATTTTTTATTATTTTGACTACAGCCCGACGTTACGGATGCTTGCTAGAAATATTATTTGACATCCGGACCAATTTTTTTTAAATCGTGCGGTCTGTTACAATTTGTATAAACAATCGTCCCCGACTGTTTTAAACACCGGATCGAAATCGTCGTCGGATTGTGTAAATGGAACCAATACTTCGTATCGAATTGTTCATACGCGTTAGCACGCGTGAAATACAGACGTAATCGAATCAGAAACAAAATGTTAAAATTTGATAAAACCGTTAGGCAAAATCGTAATTGGAGTACGAAAATTATTTATTTGTCTTTTCGATATTAAAAATATCACTTCCTATTATTGTTAATAAGCGATTATCTATACTCTATATCAATATAGAAAGCGGAAGTGTTTGTTTGTGTGTTTGAACACGCTAATCTCAGAAACTACTGGTTCGAAAAGTAATTTTTGTGTTGGTTAGAGCATGTATCGAGGAATAAAACATCGCCCTGTGACTAATAGAAGCGAAGAAACAAATTATTCATAGAGATGGGCCTCTATGGGTTTCCGATGCGTACGCTATAAAAACTGTTCAAGAAAATTTGTATGAACGAATGATCCTTCTTTAAGTGATCTACAAAAATATCCGTGACAGTAAATGTCTATCTTTTAAGATTAACTCGAAAGAAGGACGGGGCACGGAGGTCGTCGTGAGTAACAGCCTATCTATACTTATATTATAAAGCTGTAGTTTGTTTGGTGTGGTTGTCCGCTTATAGCCCAAAATGGAACTTAATTTGTAAATATTTAGAGAACATTTTTATACTTTCTGTAGTTTACGCCAACCTGTTTTATAAAAAAAAAAACTTTAAAATAGATAAGTGACATAAAACACTATATATTCTTATTTTATTCATTAAAACTATATTTACAGCTTGAACTTAGTTTCCATTCATTATAATAATATTTGTTCCTGTGAGCATCGGTTCGGATTCTTCACTTTTGTTTTCTGATTCCACATCGTCACCATCGTGGGATGGTGGGTCGTTCCATTCCGCTTTTTCGCCAGTTCCAAGTATCACGTAAAAGAGATTCGCGAAGAAGTAAAATCCAGCGGCCACGAAGAATACTTTTCGCCACAAAAATTCGTTGGTCTGTAACAAAAAGTTTACTTATGTTAAGAAATAAGAAAGGAGAAGAAAATTGGAAGACATTGAGAAAGTTTGTTGGTTTGTCATCGTCGTAGTAGCAAACCAACAAATCCAAGGTGACATGGATTGACACGGTAGCTCAATTGCCTATGGACGCCGGTTCAGTCCTGACCGTGTCGTAATTTTTTTTGAATTTATAATCGAACTTAAATTTATATAAATCCAACACTTTTATACATTTAAATAAATCACTTTAACGGTTTAAAACGCGATATATTAGTTAAAATTATTTGAAAATGATTTTTAACTTCGGCCCGACGTTTCGGATGCTTTGCAGCAGCCGTGGTCACGGGGAGGTTAAAAATAATTGTCAAATAAGTTTAACTAATATATCGCGTTTGAAACCGTTAAAGTGTTTTATTTAATGTACTCCTCGCTAAACTATAGACTAAAGTTTTAAATTATCTTAAATGGAAGACAAATAAAATTTGAACTTATTTATTTTGGTCACAAAACACCTAAAAATCAGAAATTTTTAATTGTGACCCAAATAAATGGATAGATATGGCATAAAAATAATTAAGTATTGTTTTTAAAATACAGAAAATTATTGAATTAATTGAACCATCGACTTTTTTAAAATCCATAAGTACTATTGGGCTTTTCAAACTTTATATTTTTACACATATAAGCATATATATTTAAAAGCGAAAATAAATTGAAAAAACAATTTTTGAGATGTAGGACTCGGTACTCAATTGGTAGAGCAAAAAGGAAATGAGTGTCAACTGGCATCAAAATTTTTTTCAATTTATTTTATTTTAAATTCTATTGGGCTATCAAAAATAAAAAATTTTAAAGGAGGGAGTTTTTATATGAAGATATAAGCTAGGCATATATTCATTATCGACCCTTTTTTTAAATACTGAAATCCACAGACTAAAATCGACTTTTTCATCTGTCCTACCTCCTTTAATCAATTCCCAGGCGAAGTCCAACACGTATCAAATAAATATAACTAAATATGTCTAATTTAAGTAGTAAATTTAAATAAAACACTTTAAATTTTAAACCATATATTAGTTAATTTATTTAAAAAATGATTTTTATCCGTAGGGCAGCTGAAGCATCGAAACGTCGGGCCGAAGTTGAAAATCATTTTTTAGATAAATTTAACTAATATATCGTTTTATACTTAAAGTGTTTTATTTAAATTATAACTAGATTGACAATCATGGTTGACCCGGTGCGAAACAAACCCCCGAGGCGTTAATAGGCCATTGGACGAACGAGATCCTTGATTAGTCGTGATCAACGAACAAGTCGTGAGAAAATTTTAGGGAGAGAAATGGGCTTTAATAGGAAATCGTCGCCGGATGTCAGTTTTTACGTGACAATTGCAAAGAGTAAAGACTCGACGATTATTATATTATCTTTTATCAAATCACGTCGTTCAAGAGAGGACAATACAAGCGGAGAACAATGGAATATTGAAACGTCACTAAGAAGTGAAAGACTTATTAAATATTGAAGAAGGAATTGTCGTCTCAGCGGAACATCGATTTAGTTTTTACGATATAAGCGCTGCGACCGACATTTCTTATATAAGAATTAACATGTCGCGCGATATTCGTCACCAGGCCATTTGAATGTAACAAATATAAGTAATAAGTCCACTGTCTGTTTACGCAGTACATATTTAAATAAAAAACATTCATTATTTAAAACGCAAAGTATATTAGTTAAACTTGTTTACAAATTATTTTCAACAACGGCACCGTGTTTCGGATGTTTGGCAGCAGCCGTGGGGAGTCTCCTATTGTTTAAGATTAATTAATGTATGTCGCGTTTAATTGAAGTATTTAATTTTTATGGGTTGGGTTTAGACGCTATTAGTATATATATCGCGTTTCAAACCGTTAAAGTGTTTATTGAGTAGTAAGTTTTCTTAGGTTTTTTGACATATTTATAAAAAAAAAAATATTAGATATATATAACACATTTTTAACGGTTTGAATCCGCGAAATATACACCCAATGAATTTAAATCGTATTTTCGGTATGTAACGAATGGAAGGAAAATTAAGTATTTTACATTACGTAGCCCAAAATTAATACGTTTATATTTTATTTTAAGTTGGTATATAGCTCATGTTTTAAAAACTAAATATTCGATTTTAAATAAGGCACTTTTAACGGTTTAAAACGTGAAATGTTGACTAAGTATCGGGTAAGAATAAAATAACATTTTTTTTTAAATTAAAAGCATTTTCATCTGTAGTTTACGCGAGCATAACGATTTTGAATAAATCATTTTTAACTGCATAAAACGTGAAATATATGAGTCAGTTCATTTATAATGCATGATAACAGTGCTTCGTAACCGCGGCTGTTACAAAGTCTCCAAAATCAAAATAAGCTAACTAATATATTACGCGTTTCCAACCGTTATAAGTTTTTAAATTTAATAAATCGATCGATTTTATGATTATACGCAATTGACAGGTGCTCAAGTAAAGAAAAGATCAGATTGTTATATAAGTAAAATATTTGGTGAATCTTTCGTTTTTCATAATATTCAGGGATTACCTAGTTTGTATTCGGGAATATTTCCCCTTTGGGTTGGGGATCCGATATTTATTGTAAATCGAAGGAGGTATCTTCATAAACAATTTCAATATGAGTGTATACATAATGGTATAAGCAGATAGAAAAATTATAATACGACTCCAATTCGCAACGTTTTTGTCGCAAGACTCGACGATAGTCGACGGCGAGTTTATTGCCAATTCTTCTCGTTCAATGACCTTTAAGAATTTAGTTGTTTGTTTTTAATTAAATTTTGAAATAATTTTTTGTGTCTATTGACGGATTAGTTGGTCTATTAGACCAACTAATCCGTATTATGCTATTAGCATATACATAGGTATGTATATGCTATCATTACACATAGTATTAATTCTAGTCAATGTATAGAGAAACATATTGAACTTCTTCTACAACCTGGATGGGAAAATGGTTGGTTGTAATACCAAAATCCCGCGTGGCTCACGAACCAACATCGATTGATGAAAAGGCCGTGAAGTTAAATCGCGTTTCGGTTACAGTCAAAGCCAAAATAGGTCGACGGCACATCTTGTTTAGGGGCTGAGGTATTTCAACTACCATCAAAAAAGCCCATGCTATCTCTTCTCTTCTTCCATAATCTCTATCTATTTTTTGTTAGAAGATTTCCTTTAATATTTGTTATTATAGCGATTATATTTACGGGTCTCATAGACCCTAACCTTCTATTGGTGTAACAAATTTCCACCAAACTCACGCAGGGTTGAATACGTACCACATCTGTGAGAATGTATCCAGCGACGAGCGGTGCAAGAGAACCCACCAAGTTGGATCCAAAGTTACTCAGACTCATCATGGTACCAGCGTAGTTGCTTGCAATATCTATGTGGTTTACCTGAAAACATATACACACGTTAAAGAAATACTGAGATGACATTATCAAGGAGGGGAAAAGAAGTACTGGTGACATCTTTAAGCGCGTGCGCGCCTCATTTCGACAAATTTGGTTGTATCGACAGCTTGCCTAGGGGGTGACTCTGCTCGTTTGAATAGTCAATCTGTCGTTCTTTCAAATAATTCAGTGTTAAATACTGTCTGTAGTTTACGCGAGTAGTACACATTTAAATAAAACACTAACGGTTTAAAACGCGATATATTAGTTAAACTTATTTTAAAAATGATTTTTAACTTCGGCCCGACGTTTCGGATGCTTTGCAGCAACTCGTGGACTTTAACATATATACTCTTTCGTAGGTGTGAGTCTCACCAATTCCAACTTTTGTATGAGTCAATTTATATGAAATAAAAATCGATTTTAGACTGAAAAAAATTTACGAGAAGCGCGGGACTTGGACCGACAACCAGAGCGTTTCGTGCTGATGCTCTAACCAATTGAGCTGCCGTGTCCCGTGACACGATAGCTCAACGGGTCATTATAGCTTAATTTATAACGCCATTAACTTTTTATTTTGATTTTATATCTGTGTATTTTTCTTATCTGCTTACTATAACTTTGATTGTACTAGTTATAATGTCAAACAAAGTCTTCTCAAACTATTTTTGGCGTAAACTATAACAAGACCAGACACAGCTTACATGAAGTATCCAGACTTACTAGAGATTATTGATTCAGTGAAAATATTATTATTATTTATTTATTATAGTAATTTTTTTCAGCTATCTTATAAAGTTATTTTTTAAAACACACATACCATCTATAGATGAATAAGCCGTGAAGTTTAATCGAATTTCGGTTTCAGTGTGTTAATTTCCGAATATACATAGCCAAAATAGGACGACAGCACATCTTGTTTAGATTCTATATAGGTGGGGTATTTCACCTCTATATTCATTATTTAATATCCAGATGTCAAGCCGAAATCCAACATGTTTTAACTAAATTATAAATTTAGAAAAAATTTCGACCCGGTGGTGACCCGTTGGTATTCAGCCATACATTGCTACTATAACACCAACGAGCCATATATAGTTACTAGCTGTGTCAGCGATTTTGCCCGTGAGAATCTCGTCACAGGGCGATATCAAGGCTCTGGACTATAACAGTCTAGAGCCTTTTTCGATAAATGTTCTAACCAACACAAAAATATTTTTTCAATTCGAACTTACTTCCTGAGATTAGCGCGTTCAAGCAAACAAACTCTTCAGCTTTATATATTAGTATAGATAGATTAGGACTTACATGGTATCCCAGACCGGCTGCACTTTTCATAACGCAGATAAAGACCAATATAGACTCAACTACATAGATGTTCTTCGGGGCGTAAGCCAACATAATCAAGCCGAAAGCAGCTGATATGCAACCTGAAAACGTAACGGTTAGTTAATTTTTCAGTCTTCTCTTGTTTATTCCTTAGTACCTTCTCTGAAGCTGAGTAAGATCTGGCTAAAGGATTATAGGTACCACCATGGTAGTATCTAGAGCCAAATGTTTAAATTTGCAATGCGTTAACGCGAGAGGTGCTGGGTTTATATCCCAGGGTAGGGCACAGAAGCCTCATTAACACCCTTTTAAATAAAACACTTTAACGGTTTAAAACTCAATATATTTTATTTACACTTGTTTGATAGTTATTTTAACCACGGCCCGACGTTTCAATTAGCTTTAACTAGCGTTTAAAATATCGCGTTTTAAACCGTTACAGTGTTTTATTTAAAAGGGGGTGTTTGATCAGAATTATGTGCCTTATTTATTTGATAATTATTTTAACCACGGCCCGACGTTGCAAATAAGTTAAACTTTTATTCAAATGTGTGCAACTCGCGGAAACTACAGACAGTATTAAACTACCTCCCTGTAAAAAAAACGTTAAGTAAAGCGGACACATAAATGTGTTCGTTCCACCGCCGTTCGTGCCCCACGTGGGGATTTTTATAAAATTTTAGGGATTATCTTCCCCTAACATTTTGTTTATAACGTTATGCATTAAAAAATACATATAATAGATAACTGATCAAATATTATCACGTAGTAAGCTCCCCCCACGTCTAACGGTCAATAATCAATAATCCATGTCTTAACTCATATATCAGACACACACTAGTAATATATAGTAGTATAATTTAGTCAAAACAACTTTTGCCAGGTCTGCTAGTTTACTTATATTAATTTTTCATTGTAAATTGTATGATGGAAAATGTCCGTCTGTCTTACCTAAGCTGTTAGCGAATTTTCTTGTCTGTGTGACGTTAAATATCTTCTTTACGATAAGCATATCAGTTAACCAGCTGAAGAAGAAATTGGCAAACCACATACATAGGAACGGAAGGGCCGTTAGGAGACCATTCTGAAAAATAGAATATTAGTGAAATTAAACCGTTTTATGAGAAACAATTAGTTTATTTTAACAACAACTCAACATCGGTTCTAGTTGCCGTTGTAGATAAAGAACATCTATATTAATATTATAAATGCGAAAGTAACTCTGTCTGTCTGTTTGTCCGGCTTTAACTCCGAAACTACTAAACTGATTTGAATGAAATTTGGTACACAGATGTTTTACAGCCTGAGAAATGACATAGGCTACTCTTAACAAGGTTTGAAGGTTGTACTTTTAACAAGGGTTGTTAGGGATTAAAAATGGGGGATGTACGTTTGTATGGAAATTCGTAGTTTCTGAAGCTAAAACAATGAAACTTTCTTCTTTGGCTTTTTTGGAAATAGGATTGGGAGCGGGAGTTAGAGTAGGAGTGATGTACGGTGAGAGTGTTGCGACAAAGAAGCACTAACGACATAGATTGGCTGCGATAAATACGCAATTACATAATTTAATAAACAGCCTAAATCATTAAAAATTCTACCCCAAGTCACTATTCCACGCGGTGAAGTCGCGGGCACAGCTAGTATATATGTCCGCGACAATACATGTCTATCTTTACGATGAACTTGCAAGAACGACGGGACGCGAACGTTAGGACGCGACCGATGTCTTGGGCAGCCTAAATTTGTAAAGATGTAGAGGTTTGCAAGAACAAACTTGGATGACCAAAATAACTATTCTACGCGGACGAAGTCGCTGACATACCTAGTATCTAAAGAACACTTACGGCCTTTATGTTAACACCCATAACTTTATCCATGAAAGCTGGCACTTCTGAATACAAAGTTAACTGTCCCCATGCATTCCCTACATGGGCGATTATTATGGCATACATTCCTCGACACGTCAGGATTTTCTTCCAGGGCACTGGAAGGACTTTCTGAAATGGTTTTTCATCAGTACAGACAAACATGTGATTCAATTGATGGTGAAATATGCTAGTTATATAGCATCTAAACAACACGCGCAGTTGACCTATTATAGCTTTGAATATTTGAAAATCCACAGACGCAACGCGATTAAATTAGTTAAACTTATTTAATTATTTAAATAAGTTTAACTAATATATCGCGTTTTAAACCGTTAAAGTGTTTTATTTAGAATTTATATCACAAACATACACAAAAACTATTAATAACATCTTTGCTCTCTTATAATCAGTATTCTACACTAATATTGAAAAAAAAATCAGTAAATAAATAAAGACTTTTAACGGTATAGAACGCGTAATATATCAGTTAACCTATTTACTGCTATTTCGTTCTCCAAATACCAACCACGACTAACAGATGGCACTAGTTATGACTTTGACATAAGGGACGCCCTCCATCTTTACTCTTCCGTAATCGCAACTGCTGCAAAGTATCCGAAACGTCGAGCCGTAGTTATAAGTTAACTAAAATATGTCGCGTTTTAGACCGTTAAAAATGTTTTATCTTAAATGTGTACGCGTGTAAACAGACATCTAAATAAACCTGGTGTGTCTTACCTTACTGTCTTCAGCCTTCTGCCCAAGGGCATCTTCGATGTACTTTCGTTCTTCGGGCGATATCTTCGGATGCTTAGCTGGTGTATCCGCAGCCAGCCACCACAGAAAGCCAGCGACAATACCAGACATTAACCCATAGAACCTGAATATGCCTGGCCACCCAAGTGGAGATGAGGCTATGAAGCCAGTTATTGGCAACCCAAGGACGGTCCCAATTGCTTGACCTAGAAAATATTCAAGCTACCTTTGAACACTCATCTTTTTATATGAAAGAGGACATTTAAATAAACCACTTTAACGGTTTAAAACGCGTTATATTAGTTGAACTTATTGGAAAATTATTTTTAACTTCGGCCCGATGGCTCCCCGTGACCACGACTGCTGCAACGCTTTCGAAACGTCGGGCCGAAGTTAAAAACATTTTCAAATAAGTTTAACTAATATATCGCGTTTTAAACCGTTGAAGTGTTTTATTTAAATGTGTACTACTCGCGTAAACTATAGACAGTATGAAAGAGGACAGACAAGCTTGGAGTTCACTTGATATTACGTGAAATAGTCCTACCATATAACATCTAAAAAGACGCGCTGTCAACCTTTGGCTTTGGATAATCGGAAATACACAGATTTTCATTAAACTTATTTTGTGACGACAGTCAATGGCCCGGACAGAGTTGTAATATTCCCACCGCCCATTTATTTTATTTTTAACTACAGTTCGCCATTTGCATATAATTTTCAAAGTATCCAGAAACGTCAGGTCAATGTCAATAAAAAAAAAATGTTACTTTTGTTAACTACACGTAAGTAAATTCGAAATATACCTATCGATTTGTTTATATTCACTAAGACCCAACGTTGCGAAAGCGTTACAATAGGCATGGTCAAAAGTTAATCAAAGAATCTTTCGTGTTTTAAACCGTCAGAACTGTTTAATAGATAAGTTTTATTATATTTATTGTAATAAGAAAATAAGAACAATATTATTATCAACATTATGACTATTGGTTGTATATGCTCTTTGATGTAAAAGATAAGACTATCATTTTGTTGATTTGATTTTTATGTTGACTATTGATAAGAAAAATCTACCCTACATTATGTAACTACACCGCCTTTGCGCACATGTTGTTTAGAGATAGTGGGAGAACGTAAAGTGGGAAAACTTTATAAATTTGGACAAACCGAAGGAATCTGATCAACTACTTGCCTTAAAATACATCGATAGTCTGCCTGCCCCATGCCCCAAAACAGGGATAATTTACAAATGTCTCTATTTTAGCGAAGATAAAGCCAAGCCAAGATTTTTTTTCTTGTGACTTAACGGCGAATAGATTCACCATGTGTCAAGAGCGCGCCTTCTATATAATCTAGTAATATTACAAAGCTGAAGACTTGTTTGTTTGAACGCTCTAATCTCAGAAACCACTGGTACAAATGGAAAAAAAAATGTATTGGCCTTTAGATGATTTGTCGAGGAATTAGGCTACAAAATGTAACGCTGCAACCACTAGGCACTCCTATTTTTATCCTTTTCTACACTCAGAAAAGGATATAAATGTGGAAAAGACAGGGAAAATTACTGAATATACCTTTGAGGGCTTCTGTTGCGTGCGCATCGAAAACATATGCAATGCAAAAAATATGTAGTAATTATTTTTCTTTAAATAATCTAAAAAAATGTCAGCAACCGTATAAGTTGTAAGTTTAAAAGATAGTTAAATTTACAAGAATCATTTTTAAAGAAATGATACTTCATCGCAATCTTTCATAAAGCAAAAGAACGTTAGCCAGTTCAGCTAGTAAATAATATGATGTCCAAACTAATTATTCTACCTTGACGAAGTTGCGGGCACATGTTGATGTTATGAAAACATTTGTTCTATCATTAAAAAATGTTACCTCCAAACGCGAAGCCAGCTAATCTCCCCCTTTCTTCAAGCGGTGCCCATTTACCAAAGAATGTGTGGAGACCTGGCATTATACACGCTTGGCTTAGACCTTGGAGGAACCGGCACAATGCTGTCACGACCCATCCACCCTGAAAGAAAAGAGTTTTCGTATAGTTTTTGCTACTATTGAACCTAGATTTAAATGGATGGTCATATTTACGTAAGTGTCACTTCGTGGTTTGTATGGTGTAGCGAAATAGTAAGTTATTTCTCAAAAAAATGTCTTGCTACACACAAATGTTTGGAATAAGGTGTCCTAATTATTGGTTTGGAAAATACTAAGCCGTCCCGGTTATCATTCCAAATATTGATAGCGGTAAACACTTGTTAATGCCACCGCTGCTTCAGTGCAGGTTTGCTCACTGAAGAATTGGTGGGACTAAGCTCCTAAACCCTATTTCCTATGAATGAATCTTTGCTAATATTATTATAATGCTAAAAAGTTTGTTTGTTTGAATCTCAAATAACGGCTGATATTCTTGGTTAGAACATTCATTAAGAAATGTTTGAAGATATAAAACATCACGCTTTGATCAATAGGAGCGAAAAAAAAAACGGGGAAAATTTTCATTTTTGAGGTTTCCGATGCGTCAGCTGCGGAAACGGTTCGAGATACGCAACGAAATGATGTTAGAAATAACGATGTATCTTTAAATGATCTAAAATAATGCACAAGACGGTCTATCTTATAAGAATAATTTGTAAGAACGGCGGGACGCGACCGACGTCGTGCGTAACAGCTATGATTTGTAAAGCTAAAGAGGTTTGCAAAAACAAATGTTGATATCCAAAACAACTATTCTACGCGGACGAAGTCGATAGCACAGCTAGTACTTACATAATAAGCTGCCCAGGGAAAACAAACAGAAACAACACAGTTAATAAGCAAAGCGCCGAACAGCATGTACTTCGCGCCAAAATGGTGCGCTATTTGCCCAGCTGGAATCTGGGTTAACATGTACCCCCAAAAGAATGAAGATATCACGGCATCTTGGGTCTTCTTGGGCCACTTAAATCTTGGATACTGAAACAAAAGGGTGACATAGTAGAAATTAAGTACTGTCTGTAGTTTACGCGAGTTGTAAGTAAATGTAAAGTAAGTTGTTGAGAGTAAATCGCGATATATATTAGTTAAGTTTTGAAAATTATTTTAACTAAGGCCCCACGTTTCGGATGCTTTGCAGCAGCCGAGGAGACACGGGTCTCCCCATGACCACGGCTGCTTCAAACCGTTACAGTGTTTTATTTATAAGTACATATTTTAATTAAACACTTTAACAGTTTAAAACGCAAAATGTATATATCCGCCTCTCGGATGTTATTTCGTCATTAAGGGGCATCCACCATTTTCAGTCCCCCCTGTGGCCATGACTACTACAAAGCATCCGAAACAACGGAACGTAGTTAAAATAAATTATAAATAAGTTAAACACTTCGCGTTTTAAACCGTCAAAATTGTTTTATTTAAAAGAGACATTATAAATTATAAAAATGTTATAAAGAATGTAAAGGTCAACCTCTAGTAACCTCGTTTTAGACTTATTGCTAGCTAATATTTCTTTGATATCATCAAAGAATTTTTCCAAGTCACAAATGAAATATTTCATTAACAACATTACTTTATTTGTCATTTCATCATCATTATCAACCCATTTGGTACCACCGCTGGACGTGGGCCTGTCCCAAAGCATCGGCCCTTTCTTAAGTTATATCCATTTGCTGCCGACTACTTTCTTCAGATTACGAGTCCACAGCGGTCGTGTTACACTGCGTTTGCCTAACTTACTTCATTATTATAAGAGTTACCAAACTCACCGGAGGAACTACCAGCAAGCTATGAAGAAAAGTAGACTCTTCATTGTTCTCAGAATCGCTTACATTACAGAGAGTTTTGCAATCTGTTCTATTGAGTACATTTTGAGATTCATTTCCAGTCATCGCTACTAATGCAACACCCATACACGCTCTCATACTGTACGCTATGGTGAGCGTAAAGAACAAAATGACACACTGCTGGTGACGGTAGCCCCAACCTGTAACTAAAGAAATGATTACAAAGCATTGGTCTTCTTTGACTTGACATTGACAACTCAAATAGGACCAATACATAACCATTGGACGCAGCAACAGCACGTTGGTCCAATATATGTCTAATAATTATGGATACAAAATTTGATGATGTTAAACTCCGTTTGAATAAACTGGTTTTAATTGGTAGGAGTATCCAAAAAATCGATGGGTTGAAGAAATTTGACGATAAGGGGTTTGACGGTGTAATGGTAGCAATGCTAATAATCATCAGGTCATGGTCATGAGGTCATGGTCATTCTATCCGGATCAAACATTATTCTGAAACGTATTGGGTTTCGTCTGGATAATAAATGAGTGGTAGGAATATCATAATTCCGCCTGGGTCACCAATCATCTTGCACAGACGATAAAGCCATTTTAATCGCTTTGCGTTTCCGTATATCCAATGGTAAAAATCGGTCGGACACTCATTGTCGCTGGAGGTTATATATGGCTGGAGTTCACCTTCCATCAAGTGAATTCATACATAGGCATCTAGAAAACTTATCATCATATATTTGGGGAAACTATACTGATTTTATATATTGAACGATATTTCAATCAGTAAGCCCTATTATAGAAGCATAAAAATCTTGACTAGATCTAGAAATAACTAAATAAATATGACAAGTAATTGAGACCTTTCTCCATAAAGTTATTCCAAGTAAATTACATTAATAATTAGCGCGAAAGCGTATCGCTGAAACCTGAAACTGAAATAGTAATTTCATTAAATCGTCCAACTTGCAATTCTTATAAATTTGAATTTCATTTACCTTTGAATTTCGAATCCGAAATTTCCATTTTTTGAACCTCCAAACTACCCTCCTTATTCGCTTCATTCTTTTCCATAGCTTCAGCTCTTCGATTTGTGATATAATGAATTGTTAATTTTTATCTTAGACAATGTAGGGAAGCGATATCAGCATCTATATAAATGATAGTGTTATCTTAGTCAAATAACTTGCTACTGTTGATTTGCTTTCAGTTTAACGAGATCTATTTTTACATTTACGACATACCTCATTAATTATTATGAAATACGCTTTGCTGTTTGTCAAAACATTACGGAGTTTTTATTGCTATTGTACCATCTGTCTGAGAAATAAATATATTTATTAGAGATGGGTTGGTGTTGGTGGTGGAAATATTCGGTTTCGGATAGATTCAAACGAAGATTTTGAATTTGCACTTGCGTCAAAACTATTTTAAATATTAAACACCTAGCTTCGTTTATTATATTACTATGTATATATTATAGTTGTGTTATGTACGAGAAAGACAAAATATCCCTTAATATTAATTTTGCAATAATAGTTATTCTGGTGAAAATTTACTTTACTTATTTTTGACAAAACATTATGTGTTAATAAATAAATACAAACTGGATCATAATTGATAAAACAATAATTATATTATATTTAACAGCTTAATAGATATTTATAAGGATTATAATATACTCTCACCTAGTTCGGTAGCAGCTTGTGACATACGAAGCCGAATATAAACCGAATTTCAGCCCATCTCTAATAATATAGCAACTACACAATACTTGATCAGCCAGATAAAACAATGTTAATGAGTTTGCAGATTCAAATCCCGGAGCAGGTGAAAATTTTACCTTTATATTTGGAACTAGCTGTGCCCGCGACTTCGTTCACGTGGAATAGTCACTTGGGGTAGAATTTTTAATAATTTAGGCTGTTTATTAATTTATGTAATTGCGCATTTATCGCAGCCAATCTATGTTGTAAGTGCCACTTTGCCGCAACACTCTCACCTCCCATCACTCCCACTCCCACGAACCGCCGTCCATAGGTAAACAAGTTTGAAAAAGCCACGGTTTTAATTTTTAGATTTTCAAATATCCAAAGACAAAAAGATATTATATCTTATATCCAGTGAACTACATACTTATCGGTCTTCGTTCTTTTTCTTTTCTTTCACAAAAAAGAAGGGCTGTATCCAATCGGACAACAACAGGATCTGTTGTGGTTGGTTTAGGTTCCGGCCCAGTATGATAAAGTGGAATGCAACTCCACGCAACAGGCGTCAAAACCAACTTGACTTCCAGCGCCCCATTTAAAATAGGAGTTTATTAAGTGGCAACGTCTTATGGTTCACCATATCTTGAACACTGTAGCGTTCTGGAAACTTTAATATTTTTCCGCACGTAAATAAAAAAAATTTAGACGATAAGCTGTCTACCGTGGTACCGTCGACAATTGAGCTACCGTGTTTACGATAGGGCAATGGCGACAAAATTAAAACAGTTCGTTTGTATTCGATACAATGAATAAATTGAATATGTTTTAGTTGTTATCATTTGTGAAATATATTTAAATTAAATGCATGTGCAATTACTTCGATTGTTTTTAATGAGGAGCAATCAAGGTGACACTAGGGATTACTAATTTACATGCGCTGCCGTCCTATTTCGGTCTCGCACATTCGGTAATCCATTGGCTGAGAGCGAAAAGCAAACTAATTGATACACACACAGCTCTTCCCTCCATGGACGGTGGTTTGAGAATATATCATCCACATTTTTCACTACGAGATCCACATGTTTCAGATATACGGTTGAAATCGAACCCACGACCCGTTGACAAGCCATATATTAATTTAAAAATCGAAAATAAATCGAAAAAATTTTCGTCTCGGGCAGTACTTGAACCGGCATCGTCAGCGTTCCGTGCTGTTGCGTTACCAATTGAGCTACCGAGTCCTACACCTCATCGTCGAATTTTTTCAACTTATTGATACATGCACCTCTCGCGCTAAATATTAATGTTTTCAAAAAGCCGTATATTGCTTCAAACAACATACCGCTGCCGCCCTATTTGGGTTCGGCCTTACGTATAGTTTTAAGGTCTTATTAGTCATTCACTTGATCAGTCTAACGTAAATACTATGAGGGAATGTACGGTTATCAAAACTTTTAATCAAGAAATAAATAATGTTTTTCCTTGTATTTTAAATGTTTTCACAAATGTACATAGATAATGAAATATCAAGATGCTACATGTGACTCTATATTCTCGACTAGCTGTGCTCGTGACTTTGTCCGCGTTATTTTGGGTATCCAAATCTTGTTTTTACAAATCTCTTCATCTTTATAAATATAAGATGGTGCCCACGACGTCCATCGCGTTCCGTCGTTCTTGAAAGCTAATCTTCGTTCGCGTGGAATAGTGACTTGGGGAAGAATTTTAATTTATTTTGGCTGTTTATTAATTTATGTAATTGAGTATTTATCGCAGCCAATCTATGTTGTAAGTGCTACTTTGCCGCAACAGCCTCACCTCACCCACATCCCCACCCCCACTCCCACTCCCACTCCACTACCACTCAAAATCCTACTCCGATTCCCAAAGCTAAAGAAGAAAGTTTCTTTGTTCTAGCTTCAAAAACCACGAATTTCCATACAAACATTCACCCCCCCCCCCCCCCCCCCCCTAACCCCTTACAACCCTTTTTTCGCAATAAAAATAGCCTATGTTCTTACTCAGGGTCTAGACCATCTGTATACCAAATTTCATTCAAATCCCTTCAGTAGTTTTGGCGTAAAAGAGTAACAGACAGACAGACAGACAGAAAGACAAACAGACAGAGTTACTTTCGCATTTATAATATTACAGTAAGGACTTAATCATTTGAAGAGCAATCATTCATTCATACGTACTTTTTGGGTGTCTTGAACCGTTTTGGCAACGCACGCAACAAAAGTCTTTAAAGATTCCATTTTTTCAGACTTCCTTCTGATTCTGCGCTCCTCCTATTGGTCTTAAAGATTGTGTTTTGTCTACATTCGTTTTATAGCTCTTATCAGTCACAAACATGTTATAGAGCCTACCTCGTTAAATGCTCTAAACAACACAAGAATAATTTTTCAATTTCTACCAGTAGTTCCTGAGATCGAAAGTCGAAAATTTTTTGAATTTATTTTCGATCTATAAACAATCAAACTCTTCGGTTTCTTTATTAGTATAGATTCGAACCAGTAGTTCCTGAGATAAGCGCGGACAAACAAACACTTCACCTTCATAGTATTAGTATACGTATAGTACAAAGCATTCTTAATATCTACTTCTTTAACATTTAATTTATTGTTTACATTTTAAGTCTAACGACTTCTGTATTTAAATTTCCATGAAATTCCCTCTCAGCTCGAAAATCAGGCAATAATTTATTAGTGAGACTTCCGCGAGACGCTAATATCTTAAAGGAGAGTCTTAGATAAAAACAAACGTAAATAACAGACGTATTTATTTAGCTGAATCGGCAACCTTTGTATTGCCATATACATTATTTTTACTGTAAATATATCTAAATCTGAGTACTGTACTCAGTAACTTACAGTATTCAGTAGATGTGTCTACAAATATTCGATATTCAGGAGATAGTAGGAGATGCAAAATAATAAACAAGAAAAAATAAATTTAGTTAAATAGTTATTATTTTATAACTATTTTTATTAAATACTGTCTATAGTTTAGTCTCTCCGTGACCACGGCTGCTGCAAAGCATCCGAAACGTCGGGCCAAAGTTAAAAATCATTTTCAAATAAGTTTAACTAATATATCGCGTTTTAAACCGTTAAAGTGTTTTATTTAAACTATTTTTATTATAATCTTCAAGTTAGTGCCACGCAATAATAATGACTGTCTATATTTATTATTGAAAAAATTTAAGGGCGGGACTTGAACCGTCATCAACCGTTCCGTACTGTTGCTCTAATTCCAATTCAGCTACAGTTAAAATCCAATTGAGCTACAGTGTCACCAAGGAATGCTATCGTCAATTTTTTTAATCTCAATACATTTTTTTTATTTATATAATGGCATCATGTGCAATTATATAAATACTTATGAAAATATAAAGTTTATTGGAGTAACTTGGAAGTTTGTAAGATTTTTAAAATTGTTTGTTTTGTAACATTTTATGAGCTGGCACGATAGCTTAGTTTGCGGAAAACGGAACAATTTAGTTTTCAATTAAAAAAATAAAACAAAATTTGTCCCGTAATTGTAAATAATACAATAAATATTAAATTGAAACACTTTCAACTGTTTAAAACGAAAAATTTCGATTTGTTTAAACTTCGGACTGACATTTAGGATTTATTATAGCACGAGGGTACTGAAGATGGAGGGTGTCGCTAAAGTAAAATCTGCTGTGTTTCGCTGCTATATTTCATTTTTGTATTTGAATTTTTCACGTTTTAATCTTTCATTTAAATGTGAACTACTTGCGTAAATTACAGACAACGCTTGAATAATAAATTTATTTTATTTTAAGTTCTTGTTAACATTTGCTCTTAAGTGTTTTTTTCAGTCCATCTTCCATTTTTAAGTCCGTATTCTTAACATCTGAAACACAAAAAATCATTATTAACGTAACTATATAAACGATTCAACTCATGTCCCACAGTTGGTTAAAGGTCTATCACTGAGGGCTTCCCAAACCCACCATGCTACTTCAATGGGGCTTATCGGGCTGTAACAACTTCCTCCAAGAACTTGATGAAAACCAGGTTTAACTACAGCTGAATTGTTTTCTTAAAGTAATTCTAAATACTGAACTTACATTATGTCCTACCTTGGATTCGAACTTTGAACCTTGTGATAAAGTTTTTTTTATGATAAAGGATTTTTTTTTGGATATCAGTAAAAAGGAATATATTTAAAATTTTACCACAATATCCAACTTTATTCCAAGGCTGGACATCAGCGGACAAAAAGATGACGAAGATGACGTTCCCCAATATGGTGACACCAGCTATCAGCACCATCATAATCCGCCATTGTATTTGATCCGTCTGAAAAACAAATAAATTAAATAAAACACTTTAACGGTTTAAAACGCGATATATTTTAGTTAAACTTTTTTCAAAATCATTTTTAACTACGGCCCGACGTTTCGGACGCTTTGCAGCAGCCGTGGTCACGGGGAGGAGAAAAATATATCGCGTTTTAAATTGTTAAAGTGTTTTCTTTAAATGTATACTACTCGCGTGAACTACAGACAGTATCAAAGTGATTTTACCAAAGAATACTGGTTACGTTTGAAAACTTTATTAATTTTTACATGTTATTGCACATGAAGGCACTATATAATTTAAAAATCGAAAATAAATTGAAAAAATTTTCGACTCGGGCAGGATTTGAACCAGCATCGGTCTACATTAGTTCCTGGTAGCTCCATCAGTTAGATCAACAGAACGGAATGCTGACGATGCCGGTTCAAGTCCTGCCCGAGTCGAAATTTTTTTCAATTTATTTTCGATTTTCAAAATAATACTGACACATTTTTGTGTCCGTAATACTGATGGATTTAAAGTAAAACCTTTTTAACGGTTTTAACGGACAATACATCTTTTTACACGTATGTTGTTTTCCATCTGTCTACGGTTTGTTTTTCCTACCATACATTTAATTTTCACATTTTCAGACGAAATCTTAAGCGGTTTTAAAATTTTTACACTGATTTCAGGAAACATCTTACACTCAGTTGGAATCGAATCCCCATAACACCCTAGTTAGTTATGATTGCTGCCATTAGACCAACGGATCCGTCATGTATAATCGTCATGTCAGCCTTGGAAGAACTTTATTTCTTCTTGGAGAGTAAGAAGAAATTTGTTGTAAATAATGTACAAAAATGTTACTTGAAGCTTCTTACTGTAAAACTTTCATGAAATACAAATTGTTCACCGATACCTTTTGTTTTTATATAATACTAGCTGTGTCAGCGACTTCGTCCGCGTAGAAAAGTTTATGCATTCAAATTTGTTTTTGCAAACCGCCTCTTTGTCTTTATAAATATCAATTGTTATCCACGACGTCGCCCGCATTCCTTCGTTCTTGCAAGTTAATTTTAAAAGACAGACATACAGTGTCGCGGACATTTTTTTAGATCATTTAAGAAGGAATCATCATTTTATACATATTTTTTGAAACACACACGGTTGAATAATTTTTTCCGTTTTTTCCACATTTCCCCCTATTTTATTCGCCCCTATTAGTCGCAGCTCGATGTTTTATAGCCTATAGCCCTTCTCGATAAATGTTCTAATCAACACGAAAATCATTCAAACCAGTAGTTCTTGAGATTAGCGCGTTCAAACAAACATACTCTCCAGCTTTATATATTAATACATTTGCTGCGGGATATAAATCGCGTTTTAAACAGTTAGAAACTCACCACGTCTATGACGATATTCGACACCATAACTGGTAATATCAGAACGCACAAATTGGCTAAACCGTTCCCCACCGCCATCAGAGCGCCGCTGTAATTGGGGGAAAGGTCTATGTAGTTAATCTGAAACAAAATATCACCGTCAGTCACTTCTGGGATTCGAGGCCCAGAGGAGTTACAAGTGCCAGGAGAAGGAACTGAAGGTATCATACTGAAAGGTTTCTAAAGAGAACAGAGGATATACAAACTTGGGGGTCACTTGATGGAAGCTGAAATACCTCAGTCATAAACTTTTGAATAAGGTACGCTGTCGACCTATTAAGGCTTTAGACATTCGGCCAAACGCTGTTATATGATAGAGGAAAACAGACATACACTTGATTAAAGACAATATCGAAAGATGTGTTGTCGACACATTAAGGCTTTGGAGATGCCGTTGTATACTTTTATTTGACAGAGGTGGAAGGACTAGTATCGGGTTTAATAAAACGTGAAATACTTAAGCCATATAGAATGTAATGATGCGCTGTTGGCCTATTTAGGCTTTCGACATTAAGCTGGATGTTTTTATATGACATAAGAGGATTAAAGACGAGCATAGGGGGTTACTTGACATACCCCAGTTATATAACAGTTGAACATGATGCGCTATCTACTTATAGCTTTGGACATTATAGACACTGGAAGAAAACCTCAAGACCTCTTCACAAACTGTATTATAGTAAATACTGTCTATAGTTTACGCGAGTAGTACACATTTAAATAAAACACTTTAACGGTTTAAAACGCTATATATACGTGTCTACCCGTGACCACGGCTGCTGCAAAGCATCCGAAACGTCGGACCGAAGTTAAAAATAATTTCCAAATAAGTTTACCTATTATATCGCGTTTTAAACCGTTAATGTGTTTTATTTAAATGTATTATAGTCGTGAAAGTTCCCCCGTGGGGCATGGAGCGAACACACTATGTCCGTTCCACTGTTCTGATCAGGCAAGTAGTTGATCAAACTTCTTTGCCTGACCGAAGTGTATAGTTTCCCCCGGATTCGCTTAACCTTTTAACCACTTATGGCTTATTGGTGGGTTAAAGTGGGTTCGAATCACGCCTGTGTTAAAAAATTAAGAGTATTAATACTTACGACCCAACCGGTGTGCATAGCTGATTGTGCACCTAGGGTTGCCGTAAAATAGATAACAGCCAAGATCACATTTTCCGTGTATGAAACTAGAATTAGTACTATGCCAGGTATCACTGTAGCTGAAAATTAAATTAAAACATTTTAAATGGTTTAAAACTCGAAAGATTATTTTTCGCTTAATTTTCATGGAATTTAACCACGGCTCTACGTTTCAAATGCTTTGCAGCAGTCAGGTTGTATTTCTCGTTTTAAGCCGTTAATATGTTTTGATATAATACAATTTTACTGTATAGGAATTATCATTAATTGAAGTCGAATGAAAATATTACGGGGTTAGTACCTACACATAAAAAAAAAACAATTTTAACGGTTTAAAACGTGAAGTGTATTAGATAAACGTTTTTCTATTCAAATTATATAATTTGCTTTACCATTAACTAACAAAGACGGTAGATAATAGAGTAATGAGGAAAAAGATATAATAGGTACATAGATGTCAATAAAATAAATCTATAGTCGGGTCGAAGTTCAGAAATATAAAAAAAAGAGGTCATATAAAAGACTATAAGCGGTTGAAAATGCAAAATGTTACCTTATTTACGATTTAATTTAACTACGAATGTCGTAAATTCAAAAAAAGGTAACTTATATACTTCGCATTTTAAACCGTTAAGTGTTTAATTTTAAATGTAATACTCGCGTAATCTGCAGACAATACTTAAACATGTGAATGTGTGAGATCCCGTTTCCCCCTCATGACCGTTTCATTGATGCGTTCTTTTAACGGGCAAGTAGTTGATCAGACTTCTGTGCCCTGCCCGACCGAAACAATTTTTATGTTTCCCTGGGATTCGAACCGGCAATACGTTTACCCATTTGGCTACAAAGGCGGTCTTACTTAAACATAAGAGAAGCAAAATATTTCGCACAAAAATTGTTTAATTCAAAAAGATCTCACCAACAGAATTACTCAATCTTCTGACGTTTTTCATGCTTAGCATTCCCTTATTGACCAGCAGATCCGCGAGGGATCCTGTCACCATGCAGAACAGCATAAATGAGAAGTAAGGAAGCGAAGACAGAAGACCACTCTGAAATTGACAGTAGCAAATGTTACGAGAACACTTTCAACGGTTTAAAACGTGAACTATTCCTATTACGTTATTATAAATTCGTCTATATAACGACTTGTGGCTACATAAAAGATCTTATTTAAAATAAAGTAAGCTATATGTGCTAGTGTTATCCTAGAAAAATTGAAACCGAGGTTTTCTTCTTTGTACAAAACTTCAATTAAAATTAAATACTTTGAACGGTTTTAAACGCGAAATATATTATTTACTTCGGGCATACGTTTCGGATGGTATGCAGCAGCCGTGGTCACGGGGGGGTGGCACTAGTGACTATTTTAATATTTATATATAATTAAGCTATCGCGTCCTAGTTGTTTAGCAGCACACAATGATATTGATTAAAATGTCTTGTAATTTTATTTAATACTAGCTGTGTCAGCGACTTCGTCCGCGTAGAATAGTTATTTTGGGAAAGCAAATTCGTTTTTGCAAACCGCTTCATGCTTATAAACTTTAGCTATTATCCACGACGTCAAGCACATCCCTTCTCGTCGTTCTTGCAGGTCAATTATTATAAAATACAGACATATAGCATCGCGGGCTTTTTTTTGATAATTTAAAAAGGAATCAATCTATAATATATATATTTTGGATATCTTGAAACGTTATTGCAGCGTACGCCTCGAAAACCATACCGATGAATAATTTTCCCAATTTTTTTTTTTCACATTTCTCACTGTGTCTTCGCTTGTATTAGCCTTCCTCGATAATTGCTTTAACCAACACAAAAGTAATTTTTCAATTCAAGTCCGGTAGTTCCTGAGATTAGCCCATTCAAACAAACATACCCTTCAGCTCTATATATTAGTATAGAAAAATACATTTTTATTTATATAATGCCATGGTGTGTGATAAATATTTTTTCAATTTTAATTATTACTTACATTCTTAATATTAACTTTCAATATTGCATACATGTATGTTGGGACTTGCATGAAGCAGAATGTATAAGCCAATGCTATGCCTATATGGGAAATATAAGCGCTCCAAACGTGCTTTGAACTGAGGATCGCTCTCCACGGCACTTTTGCTTGCTGAAACAAAGTAGGGTAGTTCAATAAAATGTAATGAGAAACGATTGATGAAGTGAAATGACCACTTCCTTTCCACCTTGGATGATGAGGTAGACGCTGCTGTGTCTGATTGTGAACAATTTTAAGTACTAGACAATTGATCAGACATCTGTGCTTCTTTCAATTAAAAACCCTTAAGTTTTTCTATGACCCAGGACCTGCGCTGAATGAAAAGCCATAGGTTATATTCCCAAAATAGACAGTTCAACTTGAGTATTGAATAAAACATTTTTTGACGGGTCAAAAATGTATTACGTTGCAGGTAACGCTACGTGAGTATTTTACGTAACGTCTGCCAATCAGCTACACGCTAGTGTACCCTACTTCCAACGGCAATGAACATTATGTCATCATTTATTCTATATCTCTTTTGGTTTCTCGGAAAATTATTTGTGCTGTATGTTTAGCGAGAAAAAAGAAGAGACGTATCCTGCGTAGAAGTAGGACAACGGCTTCAACCAGAATTGAGTTGCAGCTATGATGCCCCACTGCTGAGCAAAGGTCTACCCTCACATAGGAGACGGTTTTAGAAGCTATCCTGCAGATTAATTTACTAACGCTGATCATCAAAACACGAACTGGTGCTTTGAGGATCACCACCACTGAATTACTGGTGAATGATGGAGCTACCGCACATAATGTTCACTACATACAATCTATAGGATTTGAACCCGCTACATATCCGCAGCGATTTCATTAACCACAAAAACAAAGACGCAGTGATGAACACGGATATAATAGACTTACAGTTTGTGTGGCTTCAGATTTTCCGATTATATAATTCTTCTCTTCTTCTCTTATTGTCTTATGGTCAGCGGGAGTGGCAGACCCGAATACAGAGAACAGGCCGAAGCCCAATAAGCTAAGAACACCGATAGTCCAAAAGGTGGAAGGCCAGCCAAAGGAACTATAAGCTAGGAACCCGCTCGCTTGGAAACCGATGACTGTTCCTAGTCCAGAACCTGTGGAAAATGCATATAGAATAATTTTACGGGCTCTATTTGAACAAAAACTATTCAAGCGCAAAATAATGGTTTAAGACATGCTATACGACTGCGGTATTACACCTTCCATTTTGTGACAATTGGTTCTACAATATTAGTTACCCATATAGACATAGCTACTGAGACTTCCGCGTTCGCAGAGAGGAACCCAGTTGGCCAGCAAAGTATGTATTCCTGGGAGCAATCCTCCTTGCGACAGACCCTGGAGTATGCGGCAGGCTGCAAGGGCCTTCCATCCACCCTGAAAGGATATAATCAAAACTATAGTCTAATGTACCGAGAAATTAGAGTTTTTCAAATACCAATACAAACGTTGAAGCAGATGTAGCAGGTTGAATTTATATATATATATATATATATAGATAAGATATTCTCAATCTTTAGCCCCTCTCACCATGACCATGCTAAGCGACGGAAATGTCGGGTTGAAGTTAAAATAATTGTATGTATGATTTAATGATAACTATTAAATTATTATTGAATTCGTAATAGTTAAATATATTATACTCACCCAAGCGACGACCCAAGGCGACAATATAGACACGACACCGTTTATCAAAGCCGCTATCTGGAGGGGGATCTTCCCACCCCACTTTTGACAGATCATGCCGCTGAGGAATGTCATGAAGAAGTAGCCTACGTAAAAAGACGATAGGACCATTTCTTGGGTTGATTTAGGCCATTTGTAAGTCTGGGATATAAAATAAGATGGATCTATTTAAATAAAACACTTTAACGGTTTAAAACGCGATATATTTTAGTTAAACTTTTTTGAAAATTATTTTTAACTACGGCCCGACGTTTCGGATGTTCGTGTACTACTCGCGTAAATTACAGACAAGACGAATCTATTCTAATGGAAATCTTGTAATAAGTTTATACTTTTCTCAAAACATGTGACTTCGTCTGTAAATCTGGATATTAAGTGGTAGGAATACCGAAATTCTGTCCGGGTAAAGAAAACATCAACCACAGATGTAAAAACCGTGAAGCTTAATCACGTTTCGGTTTCCAAAGCCAAAATAGGTCGCTATAATAAATATATAATGCTATAGGCCGGCGTATTTCACCATCCATCAAGTATCTATATAATTATTTATTATTGATCTTAAAGATGCGAAAAATATTCACATCGCAAGCGTTGTTTGATGAAACACATTTTAAAAAATGTTAAAATCATTATGTTTAAAGAATGACTTGCATTATTTTATATTTAAAGTCATAAGCTGACGTAGTCTCTACCAATAATTGCTGTGACATAATTATCTTAAAGTAAATTGTTCAATCTTGTCGCCCCCTGTTGAGTTTGCGACACAACTGATTCCGTTTCTTAAGTTTTATTAAAATTTATATGATGTGTAGTTTAAAAGAATGAAAACGGAAGTTTCTGCGATCACGAGCCGTAGTCAAAATCATTTTCAAATAAGTGTAACTAATCTATATCGCGTATTAAACCGTTAAAGTGTTTTGCTTTAGCGGATTTTAGACTGGGAAAAAATACGACGCGTGCGCAACTTGAGCCAGCTTTCAAAGGGTTCCGTACAGCTCTAACTAATTGAGCCACCGTGTACCTAAGAAGATTACGCCACGGAACGCTGTGGATGCCGATTCAAGTACCGCCCGTGTTGTGAATTTTTTCCAATCTAAAATCGATTTTTAATTTAAATAATCACTAGCTGTATCAGCGACTTCGTCCGCGTAAAACAGTTATTTTGGACATCCAAATTTGTTTTTGCAAACCTCCTGTCCATCTTTTAAACTGCTATCCGACATCGACGGACGATCGATCGTCGGTTTTTTTAATAATTCAAAGAGAAATCATCCTTTCATATATATTTTCTTTCGCAGCATACGCATCGAAAACCCACAGAGATAAAAAATTTCCCACCTTTTTTTTTATTAGTCACAGCGCGATGTTTTATAGCCTAAATGCTTCCTCGATAAATGTTCTAACCAACACAAACATAATTTTTCAATTCGAACCAGTAGTTCCTGAGATTAGCGCGTTCAAACAAACAAACAAACTCTTCCGCTTTATATATTAGTATAAATATTCAAAATATTTTAAAAGTGTTCCAATTAACAGGTGCTTACCCTATAAATATTCCATACGCCGGTATTCTTATCTTCAGCTATCTTATCAGTAACCAATGTTATGTTTTCTCCCCTATAACCTTCCGTGGTATATACTACATCTGTTTCTACTTCATTCGTCATAGCCACTATGGTGACGCCCATGTGCGCTCTGGCCAGATAAGCCAGGGTGTACGTGATGAAGATGAGCAGGGCTTGCACATGGCGATGACCATAGCCATATTTGGGTTCTGGTTTTTCTTCTGAAAATAAAAATATAATTTTTTTTCATCGGTGGACGGTGATTCGGGAAGTCCGACATGTTTTAGAAAAGTATAAACGTATTTATAAGATTTCTATTAGAATTGATTCATCTTGTCTGTAATTTACGCAAGTAGTACAAATAAAACACTTTAACAGTTTAAAACGCGATATATTTATAACGCGAGTCTCCCCGTGGCCACGGCTGCTGCAAAGAATAGAATAGAATCCACGACCCGTCGATTATCATTTTAAGATTTTACGCGGTACTGATGTATTTGATCTTTATATATTTTTTTAAGTCTACCCGTGATCACGGCTGCTGAAGAGCATACAAAACGTTGGGCTGTAGTTAAAACAAATAAATAACTTGTTAATTTATATATTTCACGTTTAAAACCGTCAAAAGTGTTTATTATAATATATTGATACAATAATTCTTTTTCTAACTACGATCAGACATTTTGGCTGCTTCTCCGGATCCAAACAATATTTTACTGTTTATATAATAGAAGTGCTTTATATAGAAAGTATTTACAAAAACGAAATCTAGTTACAAATATTGCAACACTCTTACCAGAATCTCCTTTCAGCTCCTTTGTTGGAACTGGTGTGTACTCCCGCGCCGTCATCTTGGCTCCATGTAAGAGATAGGTGGAACAGATTTCTTAATTTAAATAAGACGTAATTGTGTTTATTCTAAAAAGTACTTCCATTCGAAGCTCCTATACACATTGCTCAAAGATTATAAGTTCCGATAGGTGCTCCAAATTAAAAAAAATAAAAAGTCGTTCATGTAAGGTGGTGCACTTATGAACGTCAAGACAAAGTAAACACTGTCTGTAGTTCTTGCAAGTGTTTATATTAGATAAACCTTTTGAAAATTATTTTAACTACGGCCGGACGTTTCGGATGCTATGCAGCAGCCGTGGTCTAGGGGAGACTGTGAAAGTTGCTTATTTAAAAACCTCTAAAGTCTCCCCGTGACCACGACTGCTGCAAAGCATCCGAAACGTCGGGCCGAAGTTAAAATTCATTTTCAAATAAGTTTAACTAATTTTTCTTGCAATGTCCGTTGCCTAAAAATTTATAAATTTCAAACACATCTCATGAAAAAAAAACGGGTTTTCACCGTAAAGCAACTTTTAATTTATATCTCACTACCTGTGACAGCGTCTCCGTTCGCGTAGAATATTATTTTGGAATCAAAAATTTATTTTTCCAAACCTCCTAATCTTTATAAAACATAGCTTTTACCCACGACCTTGGTTGCATCGTTCTTGCAAGTTAATTTTAAATGATAAACAAATACTGTCGCAAACATTCTTTTATATGAATCCAAGAGGCATCACAGAAGAATTGAAAAGCATATTTTATTGATATTTATAGATTACTAGCTGAGCCGGCAAACGTTGTTTTGCCATATAAATCATTTTACTAAAATGTCTATTAAAAATAAGAATTGATCGTAGAAGGGTGAAAATTGAGGATTGTATGTATTTTTGTATGTTGTATCATAAAACAATAGAAATTGAAAATTTTGTCCAAAAATTAAAAAAAAAAAATTAAGTGTGAACCACCCTTATCACTTAGGGGGATGAAAAATAAATGTTGTCCTATTCTTAGACCTATTGAATACACATATGAAATTTGGTGAAAATAGGTCGAGCCGTTTCGGAGGAGTTCAAGTTCGAACACCGTGACACGAGAATTTTATATATTAGATACTGATGAGACACAGAAGACAGACAAAAATTGTTTTTTCTTGATGAAAGGTAAAACGTCCTATCACTCACCGCGCGTTCCTGTAAACGGTAGTTGGTATGTTGGTCGATTTCACTAAACATGCAGATATTTCAATAAAACTATTTTAACTGTTTAAAACGAGAAATATTTTAGTTTACTTATTTTTAATGGATTCTTACTATTACGGTATCCATAATGGTAAAATAATATCTGCGCCATCTGTTGATGATATTTGTAAAAAGAACTGACTCACGGTGTCCGTTTTTTACGGCACCACTTCCATAAAGAGACACTACATATTCCAATCAAATTCTAATATGTGCTAAAACATACTGAATCTGAGTCCATGTCGAAATGAAATCCGCAGTCCGAACATTGTTTTCTATCCATGGCTGCTACTACGAGCCGCAAAAAAGCCCAGTTGTGTATCTGACTGTTAATCTTTGCTGTACAAATAAATATATCAATATACAAATAGACAGAATGAAATTGCTTGGTATTTTAACGACACAAAGCAAACCAATACACGCAGATCTATAATATATGTCGTGTTATTGTGTAATATTAAATAAAACATTTTTGAACGGTTCGGAACGCCAAATTCAAGTATTTTTTATATTTTAAGCGAGTAGTAGTGTCAGTTTAAACAATTCATGAATGATTTAAATAAAACATTTAACGCTTTAAAACGTGATATATAATAGTTAAATTTGAAAAATGAAAATTATTTCGACTACGGCCCGACGTTTCGGATGCTTTGCAGGAGCCGTGGTCACGGGGAGACTAAAGACAGAAGGTGTCTCATACATAAACAAACACGTTGGTTTAATAAACAATTTTGAATTCTGTTCATTTTATTACTAATACAATTTAATTCAATTCCGTAGAAAATACATATTAATGAGGAAAAATGTTACGTGCTAACTTACAAATGAAATGCGGCCTTATCGCTAAGTAGCGATCTCTTGACACTGGCCGTCCGTTATTTACAAATTGTATTAAATGAAAATTTAAGCATTATTTTGACAACCTTCTTCGATATAAATCGAAATTGCTGTAATCGTCGAGCAGCGGCCGGCAATGGTCGGAAAATCCATATCTGTCGTGTTTGGACCAAATAAATTTAAAAATGGATCGATCTATTTAAATAAAACACTTTAACGCTTTAAAACGCGATATATTAGTTAAACTTATTTGAAAATGATTTTTAACTTCGGCCCGACGTTTCGGATGCTTTGCAGCAGCCGTGGTCACGGGGAGTGAAGTTAAAAATCATTTTCAAATAAGTTTAACTAATATATCGCGTTTTAAACGGTTAAAGTGTTTTATTTAAATGTGTACTACTCGCGTAAACTATGGACCGATCTACTCCGCAACATGGCGACCGGAGACTTAACGAAGGTCTGATTTAAATTTCGAACTGGCTTGCACATAGAAAGCTGTTTAGTCAAATAACTACTGTTATTAGTTGTTCGTCAACTTCGTGATTTGGTTTTAACGTTCTGAATTGAACAACTTAGTTTTAATTTCGCGCATTATTTAAGAACAGTACTATACAAGTCTTTACGTAATAAAGCCTCTTGCTGGCCGCTGCAGTAATCAATACTAATATATAAAGCTGAATAGTTTATTTGTTTGTTTGAACACGCTAACCTCAGGAACTACTGGTTTGGATTGAAAAAATCTTTGTGTTCGAGAAGGCTTTAAAACATCACGCTACGACTAGGAGCAAAGGGACAGTGGGAAATTGAAAAAAGAAAACGGGGAAAATTATTGATCTCTGTTAGTTTCCGATGCTAAGAAAACAGTTCAAGACACCCAAAAAATATGTTTGAAAGAATTTTTAAATGATCTAAAAATGTCCGCGACACTATACGTCTATCTTTTAAGACTAACTTGCAAGAACAAAGGGACGCGGTTGACGTCGTGGATACAGCTACATTTCGTAAAGAGAAGAGAGATGCAAAAATAAATTTTGATGCCAAAAATAACAGTTCTACGCGGACGAAGTCGCTGACACAGCTAGTGTACTATTCATGTCCTTCTACAAGTTACCAGAAGAGGAACTGCGTTATACCCTTGTAAACTGTACGTTACAAGGGTACAGTAAAGTGTTACCTTTATAACGAAAGTGTAAGTTTGGCTTCATTAGATATTAGTTAGTCGAGCGGACCAAAGTCGGTTTTGATTAAATTTTCCAGTAGTTTGAGGGGCTTCCGAGACACAGGTAGGACTTCTGGAGTTCGGATAGATTTAAGTGTAATTAGTGAAGGCTTTCAGCCTACCGGAAGTGTTATAAATCAAAATGTATAAGATACATTTTAAACTGTTACACGACGATAGTGAAAATCATATTAGTGTTGGTGGTGGATATGATAAATCTATAGAAGAATAGATCTTCGAGCGAAAGGTAAATTTGAATATCAGGAACTACACTAATTCAGCGGCCGGAAAGAGAGGCATTGATAGACAACCATATAGAAGGCTTGTGAAGTACTATTTTCAAATAATGCCCGAAAATTAAAACTAAGTTGTAAAATTCAGAACTTTAAAACTAATAAGGAAGTTGACGAACAACTAATAACAATAGATTTTTTGGTCTGTTCGGCATCGACTCGATTGCTCGATCGAGGAGTTAACATCTCGTGATGATGCCGTCCGCACTTGATGGCGAAACCTCTTCTCGCTCACGTCGGCCGAACAGTCCGAAAAACAACGTTAAGCTGAACGATGGCCGTGAAGGTACATACAATTTAATAGTTTTTCTAGCCAATTCTAAATTTAAATTACCCCTTTGTTAAGTTACCTCTTCGGTCGCCATGTTGCGGAGTAGAAGATCGTACATTTTTTAATTGATTTCCCCCTAAACACGACAGATATGGATTTCCATGCAACCAATGCCAGCCGCAGCTCGACAGCAAGTTCGATTTATAACGAAGAGCGTTGTCAATATAATGCGCGAATTTCTAAGCATGTTTAAGAAAATGATAGCCTTTGTAGTATTTCAAACTGTGTCTGTTTGTTTAAAATTACCCCAAAACACCTTGAAGTGTGATTAATTCAAAATACTATTAGGTTTTAGAGACTACTATACAAATCAACATGATTTTTACAATTCTACCCGCATGCAATGTTCAAGAAATTAAGACGAAGGATTACTGTACTTACATTATGACGGTAAGCACACGGTTGAAATGTTGTTTCTTTAAGTCTTTCAGAAAATAATCCTCTATTATCGAATCTAGAAATAGTTTTCCCATCTATGTCGAAGCGTTTCTACCCTCAATCCCTGAATTATCCAATAACCAATTCTAAGAAGAGGTCTAAATGATTTTTAGGGTTCAGTGAATTTTACTTTATATGAAATATCCTCGGAGCTCAAGTCACAAGAATTTTCCTCAACGTATTATTGAATTGTAATGCCTCAATAGTAAGTAATGTAGGGTTGCGTTAAGCACGAACAGTCCTTGGTTTGAATCTCGGGGAGACTATAAACTGTTCTGGTCGGAGCACAGTAGTTTGATCAACTCTGTTCATTCTATCTGATTTATCTTTACTAATATTATGTAGTGTATGTTGTAACGCGTTAATCTCTGGAACTGCTAATTTGATTTGGTCACGGCTGTTGCAAAGCATCCGAAACGTCGGGCCGACGTTAAAAATCATTTTTAAATAAGTTTAACTCTTATACCGCGTATTAAACAGTTAAAGTGTTTAATTTAAATGTGTTCCATTCGCGTAAACTATAGACAGTATTTGCTAATTTGATTTGAAAAATTCTTCTTGAATTCTTGCGCCCGGCGGCAAAGTAGCTTGATAACAATGCCTTATAGATTTTTTAAAGCTAAATAAACTATTATAATTATATATGGTGGTGGAATATTAT